TTTTAAATTATATACCCGGGGTAAGTTTTCGAATATTTAGAGAATCTAAAAAGGTGACGTTGGTGGTAACCGACGTGAAACTCAAACTGCGTTTAAACAGAGAAGTCTCTCGATTACTCAATTTACCCAAGGGAAGACTGATACCCAAAGTGGTGTATACGGGGTCTTACGACATTCATCCGTTTAAATTTTTGTTTATTCGCTGCCCGCAATTAAGTACGAGTGAAAACTTTTTTGATGGCCGTCCGTCCGACATCTTAAAAATCGTACCCGTGGGTACGCGCAAACCCGAGCCTGATAGAGTCGAAGATTTCAAGAAACTTAAAAACGGTATAATCGACAAACTGACATTTTCAATCATAGGTGAAAAAGGACAGATCATCAACAACAAGGGTGTGAGTATCATGATAGAGTTAGAGATCTTTTAATTTTAAAATCTTTTTATATTAAAAACATGAGTGTAGATGGTAAGGCGTTATACCCCGATATTTCTGGAGATGTACTCCGATTAAATAGTAACGAAGAAACAAAAGTATACAGACTTAAAAAGATTGAAGAGATTCGATCTTTAATCTTAAAAGAGAGAGACCACCGAGAGCACACTTATAAAAAAATAAAGAGAGTGATCGACACTATTAATTACGTAGAGATAGGATTAGAAGGATTGGGGGCTATAGCGGGGGCTGTCGGTATTCCCGCTCTCTTGGGTGTTATATCAACCCCCGTTGGATTGGTGCTAGAAGGAACGTTTATAGGCGCTTTTGGTGTAGATATTTTGCTTAGAATCGCGTCTAGGCGATTATCCGCCAAGCTAAAAAAGCACGACCAGATTAAAATATTAGCAGACTCCAAACTTAACACGATTGAAGAATACGTGTCTCAAGCCATCAACGACGGAGATATATCGCACGAAGAGTTCTTACTGATTACGAGAGAACTCGCAAAATTTAACGAGCTTAAACAAAAAATCAGAACAAAGACCAGCACAAAGCTTCAAAAGATTAAAAACGATACAGACTTTGAAAAAGAAGTTAAAAAACGGGTAGACGAACGGCTGGCAAAAGAAAAAAAATCTCTTATCGAAAAACTTACAAGTTCAAATTCTCGGTAAATAAACATTATGAAAGCGAACCACCGAGTTATACCTCTATTTCACCTCTTAGGGTGTTACCCTCGGCCCCGCCTTTATTGTAGTGGTCATCGTATCTTTTTAGTGCTTTATTAAATTGATTTTGAGTCACTTTAAATAAATCTCTAACTCGTTCTTTGTCTAATCCAACGACGTGATGATAACACGCCGCTATTAATGACCGTTTGACGCAACCATTCCCCCTCAATGTTTTGTAATTAACGAGCTCGTTATATTTATTGATTGTTTCTTGGACATCTTCTGAGTCTTGCTCTGGGCACACAGACAAAACAAGTTTTTCCACAGTTTTTCTTTTGTTTCTCTTTAAAGTTGACCAATTGATACGATCTTCTTGCGCATTTTCTGCCGAAAAATCAAAATAACGTGAAACTATTTCACCGCACGTTTCACAAATTAAAAAACCATTCTCGATGATTATATGATGATCGCACTTATCCCCAAGTTGTGACGTCCCAAAGTATTCCATCTATTTAATAAAAACCGATATTATTTTTTATTAATTTTTCAAATACTCGTCGGTCTAAACATATTACTCTCCATTTTATATTAAAAAACAGCTCCTCACCTTTTACAGGGTAAGGAGCTAATTTTTTTCTTTCTCTCACTCTCTCTCCGTTAGATTTATTTTTTTTATTTTTTTTTTTTCTTGAGATCGGGGGATTTCCCATTGGCCCTGTACTACCCACAGACCTATGACAAAGTCTGGTACCCTGACTTCTCATTAATGGCCCTGTCCTACCCACAGACCTATGACAAAGTCCAGCACCCCCGCCTCCCTTACTACTGGTCTCAATATTTTCATCCATCTGGCCAAAAGACGACTTTCAGTCATCATCTTCCACAAATATCGTCCCGAAAATGCTCCCCCATGCGATTTCAAAATGGCGGCCGCGCTGTAATGTATGCATTATGCGAGCGCGCTTGGGCAAGATAATGAGTATGCATTATTTAGATCATGACCTCGTGTTTGTATGGCCAGCCGCACCGAGTGTCCGACAAACGTCATGAACTATGATGCATATTCATTATCTTGCCCAAGCGCGCTCGCATAATGCATACATTACAGCGCGGCCGCCATTTTGAAATCGCATGGGGGAGCATTTTCGGGACGATATTTGTGGAAGATGATGACTGAAAGTCGTCTTTTGGCCAGATGGATGAAAATATTGAGACCAAAGAACGTTTTTTCGAAAAGGTATGAGTTGCTCTACGACTAAGAACCTTACTTTGGAAATTTTTGTCCTGGATGAAAAGATAATCTCGATCGAAATCTGTAGCAAAATCGCTACATCAGCGGCCCAAAAAATTCAGTCTTTTTGGAAGCATTGGGCGTCTGGCCGTACTACAGAGCTTGCGATAGGGCAATTCTTCGGTAACGGAATTACGCCCATTCGTCACTTTGTCAAGGATTATTCTTTCCCAAGAAAATATGTTCTATGCTAGGCAACTAATCTAAACATGGAAAGGGAGCCAAGACCCAATAGAATTGATTGACTGCTAAAAAAAAAAAAATCCCACAAGATTACCCTTTAAGGGGCGGAGCTTAATATCGGTAACGGAATTACGGACGGAGGACAAGCATATTTGAGTTCTCGCATAAATTAATAAAACTCTCTGAAGTTTGGAAATTTTAAAATTGGACACTACCTGGTATTTGTAGAGTTCAGGGGTGTTGTTAACTACAATGCAGAACAAAGTTGAAAAAATAATCACTCTTTTCATAATTTGCATTTTAATCACGGTAACGGAATTACGCCTGGGCGGTAACGGAATTACGCCATAGGTTTACATGTAATAGGTAAATGCAATACTTTTACATTGAATTCAACATAAACTCATCACAATACAAATTTTAGAAGTTTATAAAATGCCACAAGGGGAAAGCTAAGTGAAAATTAGCAGATCAAAATGTAAATGTAGGCCTAAACATGTCTTGGCTTCATTTTTTAGGTCAAAGGTCAAGGTCAAATGAAAGCAATGTATATGTATACATATATTTTTTTACCGAAAATCGAATTTGACTATGAACAATTGTATTATCGTATTTCACTAGTTTATTGTGGAAAATACAATAAAACTGCACTGGTTGGCATCTCTGAGCAAGGGAAGATGTTAAGTTATGCCAAGTAGAAGTACAAGTACAGTCTGGTACTCAACTTTCATTTACTTGTTGTGGAATATATTTTCTGTGGGTACCAGACAACGGCTTTGGCAACACATATTTAAAGGGAATGTACATGTACATGTACATCATTGGCTTTTGCTGTAATTTTAAGAAATGAACTATTGGAGGGGTTAGTATAATAGATCAAATATTGTTACACTGACATGTTTGAAGTTTTGCATTCGAAAATGCTGGAAAAACCAAGAAAAACAAAACTGTTCAAGTAGTCTGGTTCCTTGACTCCACTAAAGGTAAAATGGATCAATTTATAGATGCCGGAAAATTGGAGGGTAAGGGAACCAGACTAGCTGGCCTGCACCCGTTCATGAACATACCAAATAGCAAACAAAATTTGGACTGGAAAGAGTGTAAAGTTGGAGCAGTACATGTAGTTGAAAAATAGTTAGGTTTTTCCAACGGTGGTCGGCCGACCACCGTTGGAAATGTATACAAAAACATCATTTTCTTGAAAATTACTTCACACCAGGTGCCATAATTTTACAGGATGCTTTAGACTGTCATTTACCAACATCCTAGTTAAGGTATTTTGTAAAAACTTGGTAGTTTTATTTTCTGATGTTTGAAAATGTTGTATATTCCCTTTAAGCATCCAAACAACTATTAGCATTTTTTAAATAGTAAAAAAGAAAAAGTAAAAGTAAAAAAATCAATGGAACACCTGATTATTTTTATTTGTATAATAGCAAATTAAAGAGGGAAATGATTTAACAAGTAATTTAGTATTTAAAGTTATTGTCCAAGGTTACATGCAAATCTCCTATTATGTCATGTACATAATCTGGAGGAAATGTGCATACTTTGTGCATGCGTAATTCCGTTACCGTAATTCCGTTACCGTTTCGTAATTCCGTTACCACTTGGAAAAATGCCAAGAAATTACTATTTTAAAGTTTTTATTTTTCATTTATGTTTATAGTAGGGTCTTTTCTCAACATACATGATTTGAAGAAAAAAACCAAGAAAATTTGTAAAATAAGTAACTTTTGCCATTTTTTTGGTAACGGAATTACGTGCTAATTTTGACATTTTTAAATGAAGGCCTACACTATATATATATATATATTTATATTTTTAGATTTTTTATTAATGACCCTGAGTAATGTTAGTAACTTGTAACATCATAAAATAAATCAAATCTTTTCCCTATAATTCAGAAAGTAATACATACACAAAATTTTATTTTTTTACCAAATCTTAACGTTTTTAATCATAAATTGCAAAAATCACTGTTTTTACAAGAAATATGTATATTTTTTCAATTTCGTTTTTTGAACTGAATTCCCCATTTAATTGAGGTCTGGAAAAAGTACAAAAAAGGTTTAATATGTAAATATTTATTTTTGACATTTTTTGCTCTCCCATGGAGAATTGCCCGATAGTACTGTACGGCCAGACGCAGTCGGGCTAATGTACATGTAGCTGCCTTGTGGCGAAATGTCAGCATCGAGCCGTATACTCCCCAGGGAACTGAGATTGTTTTTAGATGTTTAATTGGCCCAATGATCAGGGGGTATTAATGATGTACAGCGATTTGATCATAGTTAGAAGTGCTATATAAGAACCTGTTGTTATTATTATTTATAATAAAGAGTTCATGAATTGTTCTATTTGTTTTCTCTTGAGAAATTTATTGCACTGTTTACAAAATGTACATTCTTCTTGCAGTTGCTGACGAAAAAACCTAAACAGCCAGATGCTCGTCACCTCGTTACTCTGACAAGACCATCATGCGTGTCAAAGTCAGTCTTCCCACTAATCTACTCATTGTGCAGGTTGTATTCTCGTTGCTGGAGGGATGCACCTGTGAGGTCAACGTCCTGCTACAGACCCTGACTGGTTCCGTCCCACCCGGCAATTACTCCTATTACAAACTCACACGCGGCGGCAACATCCGACTGGTGCTCCGCACCCTCAAGGGAGATGCTGACGTCTATGTGTCCTCCACGACTCTGCACCCTACCTATGAGGATTACGACTTGAAGTCAACAACGTACGGGGAGGAAATTGTGGACATTGCGGAGATGCTCAATCGGCCTGTGGGGATCGGCGTGTACGGTCACCCCTTATACCAGAATGACACGTCGTACGAGTTTGATATTTTGTTGGACACCAGTGAGATCGAGGACCCTTGGAGAACTGAGAATGGGAAGGGAGAGCCATCCCTTGGCAAGCTCTTTGCGGGCGAGGACGCCGAAAATGAATCGCTTTTGTGGAAGGTGTTTATTGGCATCTTGAAGGTGGCAGTGGACGTCATGATCTGATTGGTGTAAGAAGGTGTTCTTTGTCTGTTAGAGCAGAGGTTGAAATTAGGCGCAAAAAAACAACCGTGACTAAAAAAAAAAAATGACCTACGTGTAAAGGTAGCACAATCAATTTTGAGCTGTCACATGTACGCTGAATGCACTTCCAGTACAAAATTTGTTCTAACAAATGTGGTAAATAGACCTTTCTCAGAGTACGCCATCTTGAAAATCATAGCAAGGCAAATAATGCCAACAAACATGGCAGCGTTAATAGTGTGCGCAGTGAACGAGTGACTCTTGCAAAGTTAGAACAGATTGACAATCGTAAAAATGGATGGATAGCTCAGATTCCCCCGAAACATCAAGCTGTATTCGAGGAAGGTCATGTCTCATTGCATTTTGGAGAAAGATTTTAGAATAGAAAACCTAAAACAGTGGCTTAACTGAAGTTCCCCTGTAGTAGTTCACGCCGCAGCACCGCCGTCAACGTCAGACTTTCTATTTTTACTTTTCCATCCGTGATGTTTTCTGAGCTGGAATTGCATTTATTAAAGAACAACCTGTACTTACATGTACATTATAAGGCTATCTGTGAATTGTTATTCACACAGGACTAAAAGAAACAGAAATAAGAGGAACTGGAGACCGATACAAACATGAAAACTTTCTCCACCATGCAGACATTTCTCAACGGTAGTGCACTGTACACCCCGAGATCATTTACGTGCACAAAAATACGGGCCAGCGAGACGCCCGTCTGAATACATGTAGACGGGCTTCTCGAAGGCCTGTATCATTTTACACGTAAACAAGTCGGGGTACAGTGCACGACTGCTGAAAAATTTCTTCATGTAAATTTGTCATGTTCGTATCTGGCTCCAGTTCATCTTATTTCTGGGAGACAACATGGTCTTGTGCGATTGACAATTCTTAGATAGCCTTATAATGTAAGTAGTTCCTACATTATTTACTACAATTTCAGCCCAAAAACCGCCATATGGAAAAGTGAAAATAGAAAGTCTGACATTGATGGCGGTGCTGCAGCGTTACTTACTAGTGAGTACTACACGGAAATTTCATTTCGGCCACTGTTTTAGGCTTTATGATTCTTCTGAATATGCAGTGACACATGGTTTGATGTTTTGAGCTATCCATTTATAAGATTGTCAATCTGCTGTAACTTTGTGAGGGTACCTGGTTCACTAGGATGTTGGTAAATGACAGTCTAAAGCATCCTGTAAAATAATGGCACCTGGTGTGAAGTCATTTTCAAGAAAATGGTATTTTTGTATACATTTCCAACGGCCGACCACCGTTGGAAAAACCTAACTATTTTTCAACTACTGCTCCAACTTTACACTTTTTTCGGTCCAAATTTTGTTTGCTATTGGTTACATGTTCATGAACGGGTGCAGGCCAGCTAGACTGGTTCCCTTACCTTACAATTTTCCGGCATCTATAAATTGATCCATTTTATCTTTAGTGGAGTCAAGGAACCAGACTACTTGACAATTTTTGTTTTTCTTGGTTTTTCCAGCACTTTCGAACACAAAACTTCAAACATGTCAGTGTAACAATATTTGATCTATTATACTAACCCCTCAACTAGTTCATTTCTGAAAATTACAGCAAAAGCCAATGATGTACATTCCCTTTAACGTTATTCGCCTCACTTTGATTTTCAAGATGGCGTACCCTGAGAAAAGACTATGGTCAGTACATTGTAAATGTACAAAGCACAGCCATAATTTCCAACCTATGGAGCTGGTACTACATGTAGATTTTACCAATGAGCTTGTTTTGGGGTCTTCTAAAGGGATGCTAGTGGGAGAGTGGATTTCTTACTGTAAACGTAAACAGAGGAATGGAGAAAAATAATAATTAAAATGGTTCTATTTTGAGATGTATAGCCTTTGGATGGATGTGATTTTTTTTGGGGGGGTTCAATTGTTTTGTCCTGAATTTGCCCTTTTGATCAAGTCTCTTGTTTCCTTATGCATGACGACCTCGGAAATTTAACCCATTTTGGAAGAAAGTGTGGGTTTTTGTGGGTCTGATATTTGGAAAAGAAAGAAAACACACTGTCCATGTTTTGACAGCGCTGCAATTTAGGAATTAGCAGAAAACCAAATTCATGTAAGACTTCATCTAGTTAAATTATAGAAAACATTCATTGTTTACCATTTCAAATCAGATTTTGTTAATTGTTTTGGAAAGTTTTCTCTCTTACAATGATTCTGGGATTTAAGATCGAGAAGAAGTATTAAAAAATAACAAACCACAAACCATGTTAATTCACACAAGAAAAGAATTGTATTCGTTAAAAAGTCTTTTCAAATGATAAAAATGTTCAGGTACAGTGGAACGCCGCTTTATAACAAACATCGCGGCATCTGCAGAAATTGTTCGTAATAGCGATCGTTTGGTACAGCGATTTTAAGCTGCCGATGCTCTGGTACTCATTTTCAATGAATAGCGCCCTTCACCTGTTCACAACTTCACCCTGCACGCCCTGGTAGTAACTGAAAGACGACTTTGAACACGTGCGGACTATTGAATCATGTAATTACACAGGTTTTGAGCGTACTACCTACAGCAAAGGGTGGCGTTTCCATTCTGTTCATTGGAGAAATAATGGCCACTTGTCACTCTTCTGTTGAAATTTTTCAACAACAATGTTTGGTTGGTTTTGTACACCAAAATCTGGAGCCAAGGACGATGTTCGGTATAGCCGAATGTTGGGTAAAGCAGTGTTCGGTATAGCAACGTTCCACTGTACATGTATACGGCGCACTTATAACATGGATGTAAATTTCTTGTGGTGCATACCGGATATCAATTTGGGGGAAACAAAAAAATTATGACTCAAACTCAAAGTACATGTAGAAACGATTTGTTGAACTGTGTACCAGTGCTACTCATAAGGAACATGGTGCATGCAGTGAAAACAATCCGGATGTCTTTATATTTCAAAATTAGTTGTTTCCTTGAAAAAAAATATGTACAATTGTATGTGAAACAGAAAGTGGATGTACATGTACATGTATAAACAAAAACAGAATTTGACTGACTTTGCTGTATGGACCGATCCAGTAAGCCCCGCCCACTGCACACGTGGGCAAATAAACACGTGCCCCTCTCCAATGCCACACTGCATTTTCCTGCTGCGTGCATCATACGCGCGTGCACGCATGTCAGACGTTTGTGCACGCACGTCGGACATAAATCACGGCTGTGATTGGTCAGAATACCATGGGAGGTGCTTACTGGATCGGTCCATTGATGAAGTGAGAGTAACAGTTGTTTTTAGTTTGTTGAAAAAGTGCCTTATTCAGATTGTAGTGACTGTACCGGTAAGTCAATGACTAACATCAAAAAAAAAATAATTAATACTCGTCGGTTTGTCACAGTTGGTAAGGCTTTACAATAAAATTGGAAATAAACAGATTCATTTCCTGAAGACTGCTAAAAAAAATCCTTTGCCCAACGACTTGAAGTTAAGAAGTTGTTTATACATTGTAAAGGTTTAGGATGCTCTAATGTGTCTTATTCCCTGGGTATACTATAATTTTCCATGCAGTGACCCTCCCCCTCCCCATTTCCCTTGGAAAAAAAATTAAGAATATACCCCCCCCCCCTAAAACGTCGTCTTTAAAATTGTATTTGTTGTGCTTTTGCCCATTGAGCAGCTGCTCAATCAAATTGCCCTGGATTCGTAACTCACTGAGTGCTGTTTGTGGAATACTGCAAATGAATTCTGAAAACAGCCGCAGAAAGTGCACAACAATGTACATGTATGTACACTGTTCCTTATTTGATGCTCGGACTAAATGTTCAGACTGTGCGGACTAAATGTAAAACAGTTGCATGTAAAATTTACTGGTGCTACACATACATGTAGGTGACCTGCTTTGCAAAAATGAGTGTTTGGGCAAAACTGACATTTTTGGGTTAACTACATTAACAATGGGAATGAAATCAGCTTTCATTTGGTATATCATGGACCCCTCTATGCTGTTTGGTTGCATTGTTGTGCTGGTTTCATTCTGTCAATTTTTCACTAGGCTAGAAAATTTTCAATGGAGAAAAAAAAGGTTTTGAAAAAAGAGAAATATACTGCAACAAACCAAGAACAGCACCAAAAACTAATATAAATACTATTTAAACTTCTTTGTAAGACGTTTAAACTAAAACTAACCAAAAGAAAGCAAAACCCCCAAAAAATCAAATGTGTGATTAAATTTTCACTGAATTTTCACTGTATCCATTTCAAATAGAAAGCTAGAATTCAAATTCGACATTAAACTCATTTTTGAAGACCGGGTCACAATTATTATCCCAAAAACTGTGATGTACATGTACAGGTACATGTACACTATCAATATTGTGTACACTTGAATAATGATGGACCACACATTGTTTCTGGTTTATTGCTGTGTTTTCTTTTATTCATTGTGCCACTCACACTTAAAAAGAGTAAAAAGAAGAAAAGGACCCTATTTTAGAAGACATTTGCAGCCGAGTTGTCTATACTTGTTGAAGAGCAACGCATTCTGTTTAACGTTATAATTCATTAATGAAAATAACTAACATACGGTGTCCTTGAACATGTTGAATATTATGAAGATGAGACATGTTTATGACAAACATAATAAAAATCAATACAAACAAAATGCAGACTAATGACTAAATAAATCTTATACACAAACTCTGCTCACAACTGTAACATTTATATTATATATACAGTGCTATAATATGAAGCATTTCTACTGAACCAACTAACAATGACTTGGATACACAATAAATAAAGGGAAAAGTGGTGGAGATTAACATAAGAGATTTACATTGTTCATGAGTTTCAGTTTGTTGAGTGTGGATTGTGACGCATGACACATATTACAAGAATATGTCATGTTCATATTACTTTTACTTTCAGGAGATTGTTTCACAAAAGGCGGTAGCATTTGTTGTGCAATCAGCATACTGGTAATTCTTTGGTTATGAAGTATGTACATGTACTCTGGCAGGGACCAAGGGCAGATCCGGGGAGGGGGGGGTGTGCCAACAGGGGCCAGCCCGCGAATCTTTTTTTCCCAAACGACATCCGCTTTCCATCTTCTGATTGGTCCATTACATGAATATCTTATGCCTTGTTCTCCTTAACACAAACCCAAGATAGGCTTTACGTCTTGGAGAAATGTTCCTTCATCACTTTACTTATTTAAAAGGTAAAATGAGAAGTGAAAAACGCTCACTGAGATTCGAACTCGGATCACCTGATAAGAAGTCAGGACTTCTTCCAACCAGTCCACGAATGAGCTGCCAATCGCTGGTGATTTAAACACCATTATTCCTTGTTATATAACTTATTCTCTAATTTCCCTGGACATCATGAATATGCATAATGCAGAGAGAGCGCCTCAGATCATTTAGAATCCAAAATAAATTGTTGGGCTCTTGAGCTGGCCCTGAACCCCATGCCGTAATGTTTTGGACCCACTTTTTGGGGGACCGACAATTACTTGCCCCCTCCCCCCCCCCCCCCCCCCCCCCCCCCTAAAAAGAATTTTGTTCCAGATCTGCCCTTGGCAGGGACCATGTACAGTCGTCTCTCGTTAATACAAACTCAACCGGACCTAGCCAAAATGTTTGTTACATGTTTATCAGAATTTTGTTACAGACCAGCCCATACATTGTGCTCATACATGTCGGTACCAAGGACTTATATTCGTTTATAACCAGAATTGGAAATAACAGTGCTTGTATCAACGAGAGTAGGCTTTTGTGAAAAAGTTTTTATTTGGAAAATTTGGACAAGTTGTGGGGTACTCTTTGAGTGTCCCGACATTTATGGTACCCTAACAATTAGCGTACGAATTGTGTATGGTTCCCTCAGAACCCATTAAACATACAGCAAAATCATTGCTACAAATGTGGAGAGTGATTGAGTAAACTAAAGAGAGTGTTTTACTAAAATAAAGCAATACAAAAAGACAGAGATTTTGCTGCATATTTGTCTGTTATCAGTGTTTCCCCATCAATAGGCTTTCAAGCTTTTCATCTATGTTTTAAGTTGTAACCCATTAAGCAACTGTACTACATTGTATTAAATTGTGTTTATCCACTGACATATCCATAAAACCTGAAACCATAGAGTGCTTGGTGATTGTGGGCGGTACAGGGAGTAATATGCAGGGCAGTTTGGGGCGGTACAGTGACTAAAAGTGTTAAACAAATGGGCTGATTCCATGATAGTCAAAAACGTGGCCAAATTAATCAGATTAGCTTATAATTCAACTACACATAACACAGAGATAATAAAAATTATAAACAGAGAATGCATCCTCTTCCCTGACAGCATTACGTGCATGCTTCTATACAACGTCGACGTCTGTACAATAATAGGCACATCAGTAGTTTTAATTAAAAATTAAAATGAATTTCTACAAAGTTGAACCGTCAGGGTCAATATCTCGGTTCATTCAGCCCCTATTGTAGCGTGCTCGGACACAGATCTTTTGGTCATTGTCAAAGGAGAAGCCAGCGTAACATTGGCAGGTGTAGGTTTCCTGCACGTTCAGGCAACGCCCCTGTCCGCAGACGTTCCTCGGTAAACTTTCACATGCGCCGCCTCCTGAAAATATAGAGAGAATAACCAAAAATATCAGAGAAAAAAAAATCCCAGTCTGATGGCGTACTTTTCGCATAGGGGTTAAATTGCTAATTTAAACTGTTTGACACATACATTTTACACGTACAATGAAAGTCAAAATGTCAGAATCTCGTGTTCCGAACAAAGTGTCTTATAAGTTGGACAATATGTTTTAAACATTTCAGGCCCATCAATGAATTGGCACTAACGTGAATTAATCAGCCATTTTGTCTCAAAGTCCAGGGTTCAGGGATTTTTTCTGATAGAGATACATGTATTTTCGAGTTTCATATTGAAAACTAGATTCGTTTTTTTTTTAATTGCTGATATCAGGCATGCAACTGAGAGTTAGAAAACATTTGGAAATCCAAACTACACAAGACTTTGACAATGTTTTTCAATTTGTAATGGCATTCATGAATGAGAAGTAAAAAAACAAGGAAATCGGCGGATCAGAGGAAAAGTTACATGCCCGGTTATTTCTGAATGAGAAATCGAACAAAAATATCCACCAACGTTTTAGTCATTGAATTATCACACAATTCAAATTATGAGCTGCCAGACAATAATTCGGCTCTCGCAGGGCGGATTTATTTGTGCACAAAATGAAAACCCTTTTAAGAGGGTTGCAGACGCCCAAAAATCGGAATGAAGTGGGGGTTTTTTTCTTCATTAAAACAGAAACATACAAATTGAATTTTTTTTAGGAGAAAACAAAATCCACTTTTTGAAGAGCACAGGTTATACAACTTTAAATTTAAATATTAAGAAAAATTGCTGAAATGATTTTTCACTTTGGATGCTGTGGATTCATCTCACAAAGTCCCTATGGTCCCTGTAACTAACTAAACACAGTATATTTTTATAAAACTAAAATATTGACAGCATCTCTGCATTAATTGCATCAATTTGCAAGAGAAGTGTCGGCTGTCATGGCCATGAGGTGCCAGTAGAGATACGTGTTCTGACAATCAGGGGAAGTAGGCTACACATGCTATCAATTCATGTTATTCTAGGTCATACCTTGCTGCGGCCCAGCCCCTCCAGAAGGACCCCTGCCTGTCCCACTAGGCTGGGGCCTTGGTCTTTGGCCCTGTGTTGGTCTGGTGTTGGGATTAGGGTTGTAATTTGTTCCAGACGTCGTGGATTGGGTCCCCCTGGTGGTTGTCTGTGAAGGCTGAGACTGAGAGTATTGTTGGCCCCCTTGGTAGGGTTGCTGGCCCCCTGGGTAGGGTTGCTGGCCCCCTGTGTAAGATTGCTGACTCCCTGGGTAGGGCTGTTGGCCCCCTGGGTACGGTTGTTGGCCTCCTTGGTAAGACTGTTGGCTCCCCGGGTAGGGTTGTTGACCCCCTTGGTAAGACTGTTGGCCCCCTGGGTAGGGTTGTTGGCCCCCTTGGTAGGGTTGCTGGCCCCCTTGGTAGGGTTGTTGGCCCCCTGTGTAAGATTGCTGACTCCCTGGGTAGGGCTGTTGGCCCCCTGGGTATGGTTGCTGGCTACCTGGGTACGGTTGTTGGCCTCCTTGGTAAGACTGTTGGCTCCCCGGGTAGGGTTGTTGACCCCCTTGGTAGGACTGTTGGCCCCCTTGGTATGGTTGTTGGCCCCCTTGATAAGGTTGCTGTCCCCCTTGGTAGGGTGGCTGACCGCCAGTGTAGGTTGGTTGACCGGCACCATAGGGGGATTGACTGTCGGTGTTAGGCGACTGACCCCCGGTGTATGGTGGCTGGCCAGCAGGATTTTGAGATGGATCATATCTGAACAAATCAAGATAACAAAGGCACGTGTTACATGTAGGCAAATACACAAGCAGTTTTGAACAGAAGGTATATGGCGATCTAGTGCTTAAAGATGTCTGCATTTAATTAAGCTGGAGCTTGCGGGTTTGATGGAGCAGTGTGACACAGTGGTTGGGGTTCGTGACTCATGATCAGAGGGTCAGGGTTTCAAATCCAGCTGCTGACAATATGTTGTGTCCTTGGGCAAGCCACTTCACCCTCACTTGCCTATCTCCACCTAGGAGTGTAAATGGGTACCATTAGCTGGGGAGTATCCTGCAATGGTATCTTATCCTGGGGGAATAGAAATATTTTCGGTCATTTCATGTTACTGAAACCGGAGATAAACACCGGCATGATGGGCCATGCTGGCTTGTGACAGACTTTACTTTTTTTTACTTGAGGGTGCGAGTCCCACTTGAGCAAGGATGCGAGTTTTTCCCTAAGAAGTTCTCACTTAGCACTGATTGTACAGGGTGAATCAAAAAAGAAACCCGAATAGCAGGACCAATTATTTATTCAAGTTCTGCATGTACATGTAGCACTTTCAAAATCTAGGAAAACAATTCACATAGGGATGCATGTGAATTGTTTTCATTTTGCTGAGAGAACACTTACCCTTTTTGAGATCTGTGGACAGAACTTTAAAACGGTGTTTGTATTTAAAACTCCGTAACTTGAAACGTACATGAGTGATTTGAATGATTTTTGTACTAAAGGAAAGCTGATTAATTGATGCAAAGGGACTAACTCTTACATGGATAGGGAGAGGTCATGCTTTATCTTTCTGAATATCCCAACCAAGAAGACAAATTGAATCTAAACTGGAAATTTGACAGACCTTTCTGGATACTGGCCTGTTCCATCGCTTGGTCCCTGTCCTGGCCCTTCACCGGGAGCGTAGAGACCATCCTCTCCTGTCGGGTGACCGTAGCCTGTTGAGCCGTCTGGATTCTCACGAATGGCAGAGGGTCCCCCACCGGGCCTGACTTGGCTAGGCTGTTGCTCAGACTCGCAGAGAACACGGTGCTCGTCTGTAGAATTGAAGAACAAGTCAACAAGGAAATGTTAGTGCAGGTGGGAGGAAAACCTTAAGTAACAAAAAAAATAGATTTGAGGTTTTGCTTGATGAGGTCTGAAATAAAAGGACTTTGGCATTCACACGGCAAAGACACTATTATGCCACATAGTCTCACCGCTAACTTATTCTTAATAAGGTACACAATTTTCTGAGGAAAAGTAACACGATTAAAGGACTAAGAAGAAAACGATCACATGATGAACCTATAATGGAACTGCAACCTGGGTCAATTGACGTAAAAGTTGAGGAAAATACCCTACATCATTGTGTCTCAACTGTACTATTACAACAGATCCTTTACAGACGATGTCATGACGTACGTGTCTACCACATTGTCAGCGTTGCGGTCGAGGTATTTGTGACAGACTACAAGTCATTACAAGTCTTTCACAAGTCGTTCAAGCGCAAGTCAACTTGAAAGCTATTTAAATGAACTGTGACAAAGGTATTCCTTGTGAGTGGACTTGTGACTGACCAGACTTGTGATTTACTTCTGACCAGACTTGTGATTTACTTCTGACCAGACTTGTGATCTACTTCTGACCAGACTTGTGATTTACTTCTGACCAGACTTGTGATCTACTTCTGACCAGGCTTGTGATTTTCTTCTGACCAGGCTTGTGATTTACTTCTGACCAGACTTGTGATCTACTTCTGACCAGACTTGTGATTTACTTCTGACCAGACTTGTGATTGACTTCTGACCAGGCTTGTGATCTACTTCTAACCAGGCTTGTGATTGACTTCTGACCAGGCTTGTGATTGACTTCTGACCAGACATGTGATTGACTTCTGACCAGGCTTGTGATCTACTTCTGACCAGACTTGTGATTGACTTCTGACCAGGCTTGTGATCTACTTCTGACCAGACTTGTGATTGACTTCTGACCAGACTTGTGATTGACTTCTGACCAGACATGTGATTGACTTCTGACCAGACTTGTTACTGACTTCTGACCAGACTTATGACGTACTTGTGATCTGTCACAAGCACCTCAACTAAATAAATGCAATGCGCATAACATGTAATGTTAAACACTGAAAACAAACGACAAGGCATAAAAGGGCACTTGTGGCCACCCATACAAAACGGCGTTCAGCATTTGTTTAAAAAACCGAAAGGTCTAAAGACCGATAAAGATGTCATAAAGAAACAACTTACATCCTCCGGATGGGGGGCAGGGGTCACAGCTGGTGCCCCAGCCCACCCCACCACCACAGCAGCATGCCTTATAGGTCAGAGCGGTGTTGACAATCATTCCACAGACGGTCTCGTAGCCAGGCCGGTCAGTCTTGTGCCAACACAGACTCTCCCTGTTGTCAGTCTCAGTGCCAACCACCCCAAGCACAGCTGCGATTGATGGTAAACAAACAAAAATGCAGATTCAGGTGGAAAATTAGCTTAGTATGCAGAAAAAAAATAATGTATGTTTAAAAAAACTGCTTCCACATAATGATGCCAACGCCAACCCGGCCCCCTCCTCCAAAACAAAAACAAAATTTGCCAATTTGTTTTCTTTATGAGTTTAGGCATTCAGAGGTCAAAGGTCACACATGGCAAATTGATCTACCTTTGTGTCCTTGAGCAAGACACTTTGCAGTAATAGTCTTCTTTTTTTTTAACGTTGAGCAAATGAATCCTAGCAGGGTGAGGAAATAAACACAGCATGGTCAACTGCAATCCATGGTCAACTGTAGTCAAAGTGCTTATCCCACTTCCCACACAGATGATACACATAGCATGATGAGAAGCCTCGGTACAACAACGAATGCAAAACTTAAAATTTGTAATGTCATTAAGAGTGTTTGCACTCTAAATTTGCAACAGGTGACATCACAATTATTTGATGACATGAAATCAAATGCACATCCATCTCTGCTCTCACAGGTTCCCATTTACTCCTGGGTGGGGAGAAGCAATGAGTGACAAAGTGCCTTGCTCAAGGGCACATGCACCATAACCCCAGGCTGGACTCGAACCCACAATCTGCAGAATGACCCGCAGATCATGGATTCAGTGCACCAGGGCCCAATTTCACGGCGCTGCTTAACAGTTAGCAGAAAAGTTGTGTTTAGCATAGCAGGAAAATTTGCTAACCTTAAGCACTATTTCACGGCGTGGACATGCTAACTGTCGCGCGTGCATGGAGATTTCTATTGTTACGTCACTAAGTTAAGCAAATTTTTCCTCCGAAGTAAGCATGCCTTTTGCTGTGCTTATGCTTACGGTCTCCATGAAATAGACGGGGACTCTGTTAGCAGAAAATCGTGTGCTGAGCAGCGCCGTGAAATTGGGCCCAGACTGTAACGAGGCCATGGATAATACAGGCTCTACTCACATATGCATCTACGTCCAGTGCTGTCCAGGGTCAGTGGCTGAGGGCATTCACAACGGAAGCTTCCCTTCTCATTGACACAGTCTCCATACAGACACACCTCCTCCTGAGCTGAACACTCGTCAATGTCTGACGAAGAATCAAGGAACACATGCAAAAGGGGCAAAATAAGACACCAAAAAACTATGATTTCAGAATCTCTACGCAAGGTTTTGAGAACAAAAAGTTATGTTAACCAGTTCGCGCCGGGATTATTTTGACATTGACCGGACACAGGCGCGGGATTGTTTTCACCTCGATGCCAGATGGGTTCAGGCCGTCATCTGTGGGTAGCACACCCTGATATTTCCAGCCTCGCTTGCTGCGAGCGGGTCACTGACAGATATTTCCGGCCTCACTCGTTGCGTGTTCATCTGTCATCCGTTCCAAATACCGCAAAACCTTAGTATGTAAACACGTCATCCGACGTGAACTGTTAACCCATAAGTCTCTGTATTACATTGCATTACATTGTATTCATTCCCTGACGACTCGATAAAGCCATACTGTGCATGGGCCATTTTGAGGCGGTATAGGGAGTAACAGGCCAGGCGGTTTGAGGCGGTATAGGCACTAATGGGTCAATGTGCATGCGCTGTCCTCTTCCACTATTAATTTTCTATGCAACTGTTTGAATCCTTCCAAAAATCCAAAATCCTTCACTGCGCAACAAAAGCAAAGAAACATTCTTGATACTCTTAACTTTCCAGGGGGAATTGAGACCCAATTCAATTCAAGACCTCATTTTGGTGGATTTTGCAGGATTTGTATGGGTTAGGGTAGAACAGGTGCATGAAGGACAGGTGAATATTTTTAATGATCTTTTCCACAATACCTACTCAGTTCACAAGTGCCCCCCCCCAGGCCCCCCAAAGGTTCCAAAGGTCCATGGTCCAGAGTTGGGGGAGAACACTGAGAGGGACAATTCAAACACGTTCCTGATAGCGCCCGATGCTCACGCGAAGACGCTATGGCCTTGCGCACATTCAGAACAAAATTGGTTGAGCGTATTTCGCGCTGCACGCTTGCGTCACTCTCCTACCGGAACTTTTTGGATGGGGCTCACAAAAGCGTCATCCACTCTCCGTGCACGGAGACCATAAAGCTTGGTTTACATCCCAAAACCAGCATCGAACAAACAAATACACGGTACTCACCAACACAACGATTCTCATCTTCGATAAGCTGGTACCCGGTCAGACACTGGCACCTGAAGCCCTGCTCGGCGTTAATGCAGATGCCATCCACGCAGGGGCTCGGGGACCGGTCGCACTCGTTAATGGTTTCAGTGTTGCCTCCAGTGAAAGCTGCTGTGGGCTCTCTAGGCAAACCTCCTGATCGGGGGAATAAAAAAATGGGAAAATCAATCATTACAGGGCCAAATGTATGGCTCTGGAAGTGAAAAACTATTTCTCATTAGGTTACTCTCATTGGGTTACTCTCATGTATTCAAACAAAAACGAATCATCAAAGATAAGAAAATTTATGACAGCAAAATACCCACAATTTTGCAACTTTTGGTGCTGAAATAGTGTTGAAGTTTCTATTTTGCCTAAGATGACATCACACTTTTGCTCATAAATATGGAAATTTGCATTAGCATAAAAACCAAAAAAGGCACCAAAATAACCTTGAAAATGGCACAATATAAATTGAAAATAAAGTTAAATGGGACACTGCATTTTCAAGGATTGCGTTAAAAAAACTTGCTTTATAATGGGCCCTTTAAAATGAAATTGCCCAGTGCCACAGTATGTGTTTCTCTGTAAGTTAAGACACTGCAAGTTTGTGTGTACATGCAGATGAAAATTGATCCTTCATTTTCCACACCATTCAAGCGAGATGCGCACCCAATATGACTGGCACAGAGATGCTCTTGCCAGTAGGCCACACGGCATTATCTACAGAAACTCTGAAACATTTGCCTGAAACATGAAATGAAACCCTGAAACATTTGCCTTTTTTTTCATTAAAGTGATCTGTGAATTTTTTTGTTTCAGATATCAGGTTAAAGCTGACATTTTCTCAACTTGTAACCCAATGTGCTGTTTTCATGATATTTTTTAGTGTTTGAAAGAAAAATTCTCAGCTTTAATCTGATATACAAAACATAAAAATTCACAGATTACGTTTTTGAAAAAAGACAAATGTTTTAGAGTCGCATTTTGTTTGGGGTCACCCTGTTCCTCCACTGAGTCTGTATCAATGTTGAAGTCCAGTCCATCAAATGCAATCCAGGTGTCAAGTCAAGTCACAAGTTATTCAAATGAAATGTTCCAATAAGGCCAACAAAAAAAATAAGTCGGTCTCTGGTCAGCGCGCGCGTCGATTTTAATCATGCGCGTCAATCTTTTTTTTCCAAAATGTTCCGCGGTAGCTCCAACATCGCCCTCTATTGCCGCACCTCCTCAATTTTTTTTACCAAAGAGCACCAAGGAATGAGAAATTGCACCAAGGCAAATGATCGAGAGCACCAAGGAAAATTATGGAGGACACCAATGTACATGAAGACACCAAAAAAAGCAAAATAGTACCCCACCTTGTCTGTACAATCCAAGCTTGAAGAAAAAAAAAGAAAAAAGAAAAAAAAGAAAAAAAAGCTGCGTCCCCGCATCAATTCCGGAACTTTGGTCTGACCAGAGACCAAAATTTTTTTTTTTTTGGCCTAACATTCCTTTGTCATTGTTCATCCTGTGAGACTCGTGACTGGACTTGTGATTGGCTTGTGATGGGCTCGACTACAAGGCTGTGTCCGAATGACATGACTACGGCTGGAGATAACACACGGGTCTATGGGAAGTGGCAGCCGCTTCCAATGTCACGTGTGTAATATCCAGCCGTAGTCATGTAATTCAGACACAGCTCTAGGCTGGACTTTATCCCTACTTGTTGGCACACAGAACATGGTGTTGTAGTTGAACGCTGCACCCGAGGGACATATGCACTGGAAGCCACCATTCTCATTAACGCAGTAGCCATTATTGCAGATATCCTCATCCACTGAACACTCATCTATGTCTGCATGGGGGGAAAAGAGAGAAAATAAAATCAAGTCAAGCTGTGTTGTTTGCTTCATCTTCCTTAATTCTAACATCCAGGGTATTTTGGTCAGAAACCTGCTGAACGTAGCAACATGCAATAATTGTCAATACGACAAGCTTGCCCACGTAGCAAGATCCATCAGGTCACAAATCTCAAAGACAAACTGCTTCATAATCTGTGGTCACCAACTGCAGCAGGATACAACAGCGGCATAGTTCAATGGGACTAGCTCCCATTGTCTCAGAATTGGCTGTTTATGCACCGGAACGGTGTTGAAAGCTCAGTGCAGCAAGGTCCCACAAACTTTGACACCTGATGCACTGTGTTTCATCTAGCAGGGTTAGGGTCAAGGTGATTGTGATCGATAAAAAGACCATCACAAGTCCAGTTCACAAGTCAATTCACAATTCCATTCAAGAGCGAACCGGGGATGAGCAATAGCAAAAGGAGTGCATTTATGAAAGTTCATTTGAGTAGCTTGTGAGTTGACTTGGGAACGAATGACTTGTGATGGACTTGTGATGGACTTGTGATGGACTTGTGATTGAATTGTGATTGACTTGTGATGGGCTTGTGATGATTTGTGATTGACTTGTGATGGACTTGTGATTGAATTGTGATTGACTTGTGATGGGCTTGTGATGGGCTTGTGATGATTTGTGATTGACTTGTGATGGAATTGTGATTGAATTGTGATTGACTTGTGATGGGCTTGTGATGATTTGTGATTGACTTGTGATGGACTTGTGATTGACTTGTGATGGACTTGTGATTGACTTGTGATGAACTTGTGATTGACTTGTGATGGACTTGTGATTGACTTGTGATGGACTTGTGATGGACTTGTGATGGACTTGTGATGGACTTGTGATTGACTTGTGATGGACTTGTGATTGAATTGTGATTGACTTGTGATAGGCTTGTGATGATTTGTGATTGACTTGTGATGGACTTGTGATTGACTTGTGATGGACTTGTGATTGAATTGTGATTGACTTGTGATGGGCTTGTGATGATTTGTGATTGACTTGTGATGAACTTGTGATTGACTTGTGATGGACTTGTGATTGACTTGTGATGGACTTGTGATGGACTTTTGATGGACTTGTGATGGACTTATGATCGACTTGTGATTGACTTGTGATTGACTTGTGATTGACTTGTGATGGACTTGTGATTGACTCGTGATGGGCTTGTGATGATTTGTGATCCATCGCAAGTTCCTCAACCACAACACAGACTATCTTGTGGTTTACATTCCATTAAGAAAAAGACGATTTAGTGACAAGAGAGGTACAGAATAAACATTCAATCCCAACTTACCAACACAGGATCTTCTGGTTTTATCAAACTCATAGCCACTGATGCATTCACAGCTGTAGCTGCCGTGTTCGTTGGTGCAGTAGGCCTGTCCACATATGCCTGGCGACTCCACACATTCATTGATGTCTGTAACAAGGGAAATAGCAAAATCAAATTCTGTAAACCTTCCACTACTTGGATTTTCAAAACTCGGTTTACGCCGCGTCCACAGTGGACATTTTTCTGGTAAAGCTAGAGGCAATGGGTATACTTTTGCCATTTTTAGTCCATTGTTGGTAAAGCTCAGTGCCAACAGCCTAGAAAACTTTCCTCTTGGATACTTTTCCCAAGTCCAGCGGTTACTTTTACCGGCCAACTTTTGCCCAGGAAAAGTGACCTGGTCACTTTTACTGAGACGAAAAGTCCAGTGCTTACATCCGGGCACTGCATGAAGGTCACACTACAGGCACACTGCACACGATCTGTGTGTGATTTCATAGGCTAACATTTCAATCGGTTCTTTACACACTTAACTTGATTTTCTGCTCCATTTTTAACGAAATGTATCGTAGATACGTAGACGCCATTAGACGTTATAACATATTCTTTAATGAGGCATTATTCACTGAAGCCATCAACGTTCCATAACGTCACACGCTACGACAATCGAGGATATAGAAAACCTGTACATGTTGATGCCCAGATCGGTTCCTTATAGCCACAGTCTCAATACAAAGTCAAAAGGTTTTTACCACTGTTGGGTTAAATCTTTAAAAAAGTTAGTACAATGCAAACAGGGCTTCTAAAGCTTCGGCTTCATGACTGGCTTTAGAATCATTCAGAATCCTTACAATTCCAAACCAGCATGACATGGACCAATACTGAGCCAGACTTTTCTTCATGTCTGGGGCCCTTAAAGTCTCCTGATGTGGTATTTTCTAAGAAAAAGTAAATGTTTCAAAAAAATGCTTTTGAGCAATTCCACGAAAAAGTGGACGTGGCCAAAAAGTGGAAAATGTAAAATTTTTCAAACAGGGCACAGTATGAGAACATTTTCAAACACAAAGTTTTTAAATGTTTGCCATGTCCTTTTTTTTTGTAACGCGACTGTTCTTGCATAAACATTATTACATTAAAAAAACACATAATTACGCGATGTTTCAATTGATAATATTAATAAGAAATACTATTTAACAGTTGTAATTACCTATACATTGATTAGTTCGGCGATTGTATTTCTGTCCCTCCGGACAAACGCAATTGTGGTCATCTGATGTTGGAACGCAGGTCGCATTACCACAAATATCTGGCACGCTGAAGCAGTCGTTGTCAGCTGGTTGGGAAAACAGGGAAAAAAATAACTTTCTGTAAGATTTAATTACGGAAGCAAACAAGTTTAGAGTCCAATTATTTGATTTGATTTGATTTATTTCCATACATCATAATTTATAGTATACAAATATTGAGTGGCTCAGCGTGGAATGGGAGGAATATTATCGCAAGCTAAAATCTGGACTTTTCCATTTCACGAGGCGAAGCCGAGTGAACTGGAAAAGTCCACATTTTACCGAGCGATAATATTCCTCCCATTTCACAATTTAAAGCCACTCAATATTTGTTTTATATAACTGAAATATAGATCCTTGTCATTTGATATATTTGAACTTTTTTTCAATACAAAACTGGAGAAAAATGTATTTCTCTCTTCCAAACCACCCTTTCACGAAAATGTTTGAACCCAACGCTGTAGCGCTGGCTCTTTGGAACAATACGCGCTACGCGCAACGCTGAACGCACACACCAGCATGCATTTGCACACAAATACCGCGTCATGATCCTAACTGTTGAATAGTATTTCCCATTCCCCATGGGCGGATAGTACTTTTTGAGCCGCGGCATGAATGGGAGCAATAACGAATGCCACGTGATGTGAGTTCCACCAATCAAATGACAAGGATCTGTATGTCGGTTATATAATAAGGAACAATTGAATTAAACAGAATAAACAACAAAGTTTGGCGCAACACACGATCGAGAAGGTGTGCAATGACATCAGGGGTGATCCTGCATCCCTTCAGAAGCTTTCAGCAGCAGCACGTGCCTTCCACCACCGTCTTCAGCACCATATCCGCATTTTGAAAGTGAGTATTTTTTTTGCGTATGGCGCTTAAATCTCACCCTCTTGCACAAAGCTGATGAAACTGCTCCATAAAATTTGTTATGCCTTGTTTACATGATCTGAAATTTTATTTCATTTTGTAAAACAACAGAGTTATTTAGGACTATTTCTTTAATAGGACTTTTTCTTTTTTACATGTTGTAGTAGTTGTAGTAACAAAAAGTCGGTCGGCCCATCAGGACGGCATTTATCTCCGGTTTCACTGGCATGAAACGACGGAGAATATATTTATTCCCCCTAGATGGGATGCCAGTCCATCGCAGGTTACTCCCAGCTAATGCCGGTACCCATTCTCCTGGGTGGAGAGAGGCAAGTGGGGGTGAAGTGCCATGCCCAAGGACACAACACTATGACCAGCTGCTGGATTTGAACCCCTGACCCTCTGATCAGGAGTCACGAACCCTTACCTCTAGGCCACACTCCCCTTGGCTGCAATAGAGGTACAAACTCAAAATCCAGTCTGGGATCAATACTACTTTGTAAGACCAGCTATAGTCGGTAACCTACCAAGGCAGAGTGCCAGGAGATCGTCAAATACGAAGCCCAGCGGGCAGGAACACAGGTGGAAGCCGTCAAAGTTCTGGCAGGTCCCGTTACCGCACGTGTGGAAAGCTTCTTGGCACTCATCAATGTCTACAAAGTAAACAAAGTAAACAAGAGTGAATTATGCATTATGAATCACTATCCCCTTTACCGTTTTTCACTTTTACTATAATTGGTACCAAATATAAAATCATATTCAAAGAGGAGTTGGGTCGGCGCAGTGGTACTATCCTTCCCTTCAATCTCTGTAACCCCGGTCCGAATTCTGTCGAGGCCAATATGTGGTTTGAGATTTATACAGTCCCTTCTGGATGTTTTCCAGAAGACACTTCCAGGGTTTCCCTCACCCATCTGAACACTTGCATTTCATCATTGTCATCTCTCTACGGGTTTCTTCAGGCTTGCAAGCTACAGCGCCATGGCATTTTTGAGAAATCCTTGATCTCATAATCATATAAAGTTAATAATAAATAAACAATTTATGAGATGTGACATATGGATGTGTTAAAATAAAGTTGATACTGTAACTTCATTGGTCTAGGACGACGACGTGTCTGGTCAATCAAAATGCGTGTCACACACTGAGGGTGATATCGCACTGCGTTCAATGGGCGTGTTGCGCGCACGTGTGGAACCTGCCGGCACGCTAGCTTTGCGCAATGAGAACTGCAACTTCAAACGCTCAGCCTCATGTCCGGCAGGACATCAAAACCTTCAGTTATCAAAGGTTACATCGCAGTGATTTAATATATTTCTCACACAGTAAGTTACAACCATTTATCTTTTTTGAGTTATTGGCGTGATATAACAAAACAAAACTGACTGCTGTGATGTGGGATATGCCGTTTTTACCCCCTCAGGGCGCATAGCACCCGAGGCGAATATGCACCCCTCGGCCCGGGTGTTAAAATCGTCATATCCCATCACAGCAGTCAACAATTGTTAAATGTGGAACAGCATATCCCAAAACACTAATAATCTATATAATTATGTCTTCGTGAAGTTTCCTGCTTTTGTAACAAGTGGGAAAAACCATTTTCACTGCGGGCACGACAAGTCCCGCCCCCTTTTTTTAAATGGATGCCACGCCCCTAAAAGGGTAAATTTGCGATGGCTCCACTTCTGAAACATTTTCTCGCATGAATATAAACATCTGTGCCCAGTTTCACGCTTTTATGCACAAGCGCACAATTCATCGATATTTTGTTACATATCCGCTGGACTAAGACTAGTTGAAACTCACCAACACATGAACCAGTCAGTGAGTCAAACTCATAGCCAGTAGGGCACTGGCACAGGAACGATCCTTCCAGCTCTAGGCAGGTGGCTTCACCACACGGCTCATCATCACATTCCTTGATGTCTAAAACCCCAATGCAGATAAACAAACAAAATGTGGAGAAAATATTAAAATTAGTCTTCATAAATTACTGTGGATAAGAAAGTAAAGTGAACACAAACAAAATTAAAACATTACTAAAATGTGTTATCAAGAAAAATGTTAGGTTGCAAAAGCATTGACTTGAAGCAGCTGTATATGCTTTTAGCTCCTTGCATGGAATTGTCATATGTGACCTGTCAGGCTGTCACATGACAAAATTAACATAAAGTCAGACATTGCCATTTTGCAGTACGGCGGTGCAAGCAAAAAATTTGAAGAGGCGGTCAGCTTGGTTTTCAGGTGAACCTCAATATGTTAGTCCTGAACTCCTGATCTACATTTCATTTCCCCTTTGTTTTTCAACCTATTTTCAATCAGTGGTGCTTTTCGGGGGGTCATAACTAAAAATTGGTTCTGTTGATTCTCTTTATTTAATCGGTTTGGGGATTTGAGTACTACATCATCATACACAATTCTTACCCAATTAAAATTGTCAAAGAAATTCATCGACGAGAAAAAACGGAACCAATCTTGGTTATGATAGCCAAAACACACCCCTGTTTCACTAGTTGACTGTCAATTCACTGTAATGCATCAACGGATGTTTAAGTGCCATTTTTTTAAAATCACTTTTACAACTTCAATTTAGTTGGCGGTCTATATTTCCGTTACTGAACTCAGTACCGAGAAAGTTCTTGTTCCGCAGAATCTAGAAATAGAAATACCCGGTATCTCAAGTCTTAAGAATTCTGACTTTTATGCTCATTTTGTGGTGACGGGTCACATATTATTAACAAAAGCAAGGCTGTGATGGACATGATAGCCTTGGCCAAAGCATTCATCAATAGGTACTGCGTCCAGGATGTTATCTAGATGCTAAATAACACGAGCTGATCGATATTCACTGTACGAAGCATGAACAGCAACCTCACGTGGCTACAATGTGAAAATCAAGTCGCGACGGATGAATGCCTTGGGACGATGGACTGCGTCTGCCTATCTTTTTCTTTATTTTGTCGGTGAGTTTATATGTAATGTGTAGCCACACTTTCCAACTCTCTGTCCATGTACAAAATATGAGTGTCCACGACCAAGTATTGAAAAATAATCTCATTTGTATTTGAATACGAGGTCGTCGCTGGAAATCCAGCGACAAAATATAGAAAAAGATAAGCCACCGCAATCCATCATCCCAAGGCTATTGTTAACTGATTTTGCATATATTGCAGCCACGTGAGGTAGCCATGTGATGAGGTCACTGCTCGCGCATTGTACACTGTACATTGTACATTGTACATTGCATGCACAGCGTGCAGCTAGAGTTTATGTTAGCAGCCGATACCATTAAGGACATTATCGAGGAGTGCCTTGACTGAGGCTATGGACATGATGGAAACACAACAAAGAACCCGGACCACAATCACTGCAGATTGTTAAGCTGCTCAGCTAAGAACTCATGATGGCGGCCCACTGCAGATAATATTTGTCTATCCTCGACATTCAATGAGTTGACTCCCAATCATGGTAGATATGCAGCTGGTTTCAGTCATGTTTCTGATTCTGCGCACCAACAGACTAAACGATGAACTGCTGACGAAGATCGTCACAGGAGCAGTTTAAATTGATCAATGAAATTTCACACTCTAATAACACCACGGTATGATGAGTCTTGTTGTCCCTGGAGAGGTGAGCTGTTTTTGTTTGCCACTATCATCGCCATCTTGGTGAAGCTGGGGACAATCTGATACTTTGGGAGCCCAGACATGGCACTACAGGTTCTGATCAAGAAAACTACATGCAGATTCTTCATGACAACGCAAATTTGACAAACAGTATACTGTTTGTCAACCGAACCAAAGTGTCCCCCTGAGTATTAGTAAACTGAGTGGCAAGACATCAAATGCCACTAGAAGTAATTCTTGTGTCTATAAGTGATGGAAGACTGAAAGGAAGTGGGTGGGGGGGGGGGGGGTAGGGGGGTAGATGACTTCTCATGGAGATTAAAATGGACACCTGATTAGAAATCTTGATCGAGGACATCTTAATTGAAAACAAAATGTATATCTATGACAAATAACAAGACAAACGAAATGCTGCAAAAAAATGAGAGATACAGTGCAACACGATGCCTCGTGCAGAAAGTGACAAACTACATGTTTAACTGCTATGCTTGCTAATAAAACTGTGATACCCATGTAAGAGTGGCATTCCAAAGTCACAGCAAACTAATTAGACGCCCAATATTTCATGCTCTTATTAAAGTTGCGTTCGCCAAGTTTTTTCTCAAGTTGCATTGCGAAAAACAGATTCCTTTTCTGAATTGTTATTTTTCTAGCAATACAAAAGTTATTCACTTTTGAATGAGACATCTACTGACAAAAAAATCGGCCCATACTTGTAGTTATTGAATTATTACTTTACAATTTCAAGCAATTGGCTTCCAGACAACAAATCCCATTCTCTCAGGGTAGGCTGGTTCCTGCCCCACAATCAGTATGGGTAATGTATTTAGTCTGCTCGCAAAGTGGATCTGTTTGTGCCCAAAACAAAACAAAACTTTTTTTCAGAGCTTTTGGTTGGAATAAAACATAAAAGTTGAAAATGTATCAATAGACACACACAAAGAATTGAATTTGTTGAAGAAAACGGGGAATGCAAGTTTAAATTCAAATGTACTTAAAGGCGCAACTGACTACACTATGGAATGCCACACACACAAAATTGAATTTGTTGAAGAAAACGGGGAATGCAACTTTAAATTCAAATGTACTTAAAGGCGCAACTGACTACACTATGGAATGCCAGTCTCAAAGGAGCATTAAGGTTATACAAGTACCATGCCAAACAATTTTTAAAAAAACACAAACATGCATCAACAAGCCCCCAAAATACCTAATATTGCAAGAAAGAAGGATTAAGCTGACGCAATAAAAGTGGAACACGAAGCACAACAGGACACACGCAACAGCGATAATCACTGAAGGTATAGTCCTCAATGATTACAAATAGCAAATGAAGCTGCAGCACATAACAGATAACACAGAACTAAGAGCGAAGCCCAGTCCAAAGTGTTGCATGTGAAATGGCAGTACTGTCACAAAGAGTTCAAGTCCTCATAAGTAAAGTAACAACTCAGTTTCTGCTTCAGTAACCTAAAATCCTTTAATACAGGGTGAGTAATAAAACGCGAATCCAAAACCCCAAAAGATATATTTCATATTTTAAAAAAATATATAGCACCAACCATAATAATGACTGGAAAGCTAATTTCATAAGCTACTTTTAGATGAAAAAAAATACTAAAATTGCTCTATCCGTTCAAAGAATATCACCATTTAAACGCAAGACCCTAAAACCTGTTTCGTCCCCCAAAAAAATTAGTTTGTATTCTGACTATTTGGAACAACAAAGAACATGACACAGAATACTTGTTTGAACTGTCAACAACTGTGGTACACAATATCTTAAGGTTTTATCGCTGGTGATGTTTGCAGACAATTGTGACGATGATTCTTGAAATCGCATTTTTTGGATGAAAGAGGTTTAAATTGTGATATTTTTTTAACAGATTGAGCAATTTCAGTATTTTTTTTCATCTAAAAGTAGCAAATAAAATGGGGCTTTCCAGTCATTATTATGTTTAGTGCTACATCTTTTATTACTTATGAAATAAAATTTTGGGGGTTTGGGGGCTTGGGTTCCGCTTTTTTTTTTACTCACCCTGCATGTAGGAAAAGTTTACATGTTAGACTATTTGGTTTTGGCATCAAAGGTTTCTGACTGATTCTAAGGTGAAAAAAACCCTGATTTCTTTTTTTAATTTTGTCTGGTGCCCTCCTTGGACAGAATCATACACTGCCATTTCACATCACGGTAGCTTAATCATGCGGCAACAAGTGCGGAGCCATAGCTAGTGCTTTGCTTTGCATTGCTTTGCTCGGCCAAGTGACTCGGGACTCACCGAGACAAGCCCGGATATGCCTGTCCAGACTGAACCCTCGTGGACATTCGCAATCAAACCTGCCCACATAGTTAACGCAGGTGGCATTACCGCACAGCCCGGAGTGTAGTTGGCATTCGTCAATGTCTGAATGGAAGGAGTTTACATGCTTTTTTTCATTCATAAATACCTGAGACAGTTTACCTATTCCTATTGGTTGAGAGCCTGTCACGTGGGTAGTCTTAAACCGCTGTTTAAACAGCGTTGAGTGTTGTTTAAGACCAGGCGCAAGACCCAGCGCTCCGGGGCACATGCACGCAGTACGCCGTCACGTGTGCTGGCTTTAAGTGTGCTTGCTTTTGTGAATGGGGAAAATAGTGTAATGGAGTCTTCGGCTTGGGCCATTAACGGCGACCAGACCCCCATAAACCGATTTTAAACCTCACGTTTATATCTGCTCCATCACAATATTATCCCATTATAATCAAGACTATTGTTAAGTGCCAAATTTATTAGTGATCACACATTTGTTAAATACACAATGGTGTATGTCCAGAGCATTTCATAAATGAGGCAACTTTTTCAATATATTTTTTTTTCAAATTCTGAAATTTTGAACAAAAGGGCACACACAAAGTGGTATCTTTTCAAAAGCTGTGTACCTAAAATGGTGAAGATTTAAATTTCAAATATTCTTCCATTTTTATGTGTTGCCAAAGTACAGACTGCTTGAAATGTTGGCCGTCAGTTGTCACTGCAGGCATTTTAGTTCTGGCCGATTCTGGCCGTTATGGTCACTAAAAGGTCAGAGAAAAAAATCTCATGGTTGACAGCAACACAAGGGTTAGGAATTGGTTGATAAGTTGGGTGCAAATAAAATATTGGTGCATTTATACAGTGCAATCAAATACAGATATTTACCATTACGCTTTGGAAGAGAACAACAAGTTAGCAACCACTCAGTGTTAAAAGGGATTGGATTTTCATTTATTAAAAAATGCATGATTTGTAAAATAAATCAAAAATCAAACATGGTTGCCCTCATGTCTGGGGCTTAAAGGTAGGGTAGATCATTTGTCAGTTGTTCATATTTTGTTTTGTTTGAAGCAACAAAAAGTTCTCAAAATCTCAAAAAGGGTGCCTAACAACTGACCTGATGAAGTTTTAGCTCTGTGAATGCAGTGTATTCCGAGAAAGCAATATTCTAGGATCTCAGGTTTCAATTCAAAAGTTGCCACGTCATGTTTTGAATTGCGCCCAAAATCAGCGTCCGGGACACGTTCTCATTCAGCCTATTGCAGCTACGCGATGTCACGCACTGAACTGACGAATAATAGCAACCGCGCGCGCTTGTGCATTGTGTCAACGCTTGCGAGCACCCATTCACAGATTCGCAGAATTACAAACGGATTACAAATGGAAATTTCCGAAAATGTGTCACTTGACGCATCTTTGGAAATGGCCTTCTTTTATCGTTTTCTTCAAAATGACAGCATGCCAGAAAGAAGAATTTCACAGCGAGTTTAGTGCCCTTATTTTTAAACCAACTAAGCTTTTTAACAATACTTTCGTGAGTCACTTTTTTGGATAGCTGCAAATGATCTACTCTACTTTTAAGCCACCAGGAAAGCAGGAAAACTCTGAATCTCATCAAAAACCAATGACCAATTCTCACAGTTTTACCATGTATCATTCTACTGAGGTTTCTTTGTCTTCATCAGTAATCCATTTACAATGCATTGAAAACCCAAGGCTTATGTGTACTGTTTCATATTCATGTATTTTCATTTGTGCGTACTTTTGTTCCTTGCTGTTTTTGCGGTTCATGTTTACTTGTTTGTTCCTCTGCGCCTTGAGCATCGAATCAAGATGGATTTGGCACATTATAAATGCTCTTTATTACTATTATTATTGTTATTATCATTGCTATCAGTTTCATATCTTGCTCGATTTGTTTGCTTTTTCAATTTCCATTGAATTGAATAGAATTAAAAAAGAATTACAATTAGGCGAAGTCAACAAGGAGTGGGTGTTGGTCAAAATTGTGCGAAGAAGCTCAACAAATTCATTGTTTGACATGAAGACATTCTCCACTTGATGAATGCAACCAATTCTAGGGAAATTTTAGTAGCAAAGAAATGTTTAGTACGGTAAAATCAGTGCATTCCTATTTCCTGACTTTTAAGAGACTTGAAGGTTTGCATGGTGGACATGAGCAAAGAATGGAAGGTCTGCGGTAACACCGTGTGAATAATATCTCTTTTGAGTTGTGTTGTGAGAACAACTGGTTCTTCTCAGAACCACACAACTCAAAAGAGATATTTTTTCACACGGTCTTCCATTCTCTGTTCCTGACTTCTGTTATTTTTTTACAAAGGCAGTTACTCACCGACGCACTCTTGCTGGCTCTGATCAAAAGTGTAACCGCGGTTACAGTTACAGGAGTAGCTGCCCTGGGTGTTGTAGCAACCGACGTTGCCACAGGGACGCGATTCGCACTCATCAATATCTGAAACAGGAATGGGTTCGACACGATGTAACTATTACTCCACCATATACAGTGGTTTAAAGATATAGTCCATCATTTGTAATTTGTGCATTTTGTTCGTTTGAAGCAACAAAAGTGCTCAAAATCTAAAGAAGGGTACTGAACAACTAACCTGATGAAGTTTCAGCTCAGCTTCAGCTGTATATTCCGAGAAAAACAGCATTCTAGGATCTCAATTTCAAATCAAAAGTTGCTGAATCATGTTTTAAATTGGGCCTGAATTCAGCGTCCGAGACACGTTTTCACTGAGCCGATTGCAGCTATGCGATGTCGCGCACTGATCCGACGAATTATAGCAACCGCGCGTGCGTGTGCGTGTGCGTCGTGCCAATGCTTGCGCGCGCTTCGCGGAATAACAAAACGAACTACTATTCTAAATTTCCTACAGTGCGTCTTAGGAAGCACTGTTGGAAAGTCTTTCTTTCGTTGATATTACTTCAAAATGACAGCTTGCCAGAAAGAATAATTTCATAGGGAGTTTGGTCCCCTTACTATCTTTCAACCAAGTATGTTTTTTAACAATAAGTACGCCAGTTACTTTTCGGATAGCTGCAAATGATGGACTATAGCTTTAAAAGAACTTTGGACATCTTTAGTCAATGATGGTCAAACGTCATTTAAAAAACAGCTGTATCCTCTTTGAGTGATCCCCGGCCCAGCAGCCAATTTCACGAAAAAGTGTGTAGCTTGCATCATGCGTAAGACTTATCCAACAAATCTGTTGCGCAGCTCCGCAATAAACTTTTGATCAATTTTACGAAACTTGGCGTAAACATTTTGGACGAGGATAATACCAGCATTTACGACGGCTGTTTGTGTATCAGTTTGTTCGTTCACGAAACAGTCGTTGAATCCCTTCAGCCCACCATTTTAAAAACTATTTTGTCCGACTTTCTTCGGAATCATGCGGCAACTCTAATAATTATGTCAGTAGTGAAATAGAAATTCATGATTTGCTGGTAAAATAGGTCTTTTTCAGTCGCTACACCACAACTGACGCCGCCCAAAATGATTGCGCAAGTTACGCCATAATTTATTGTGCCAGTTGCGGACTTATGGACTACCGGTATGAGACTTTCGTGAAATGTGTCATAAGAGAAATGTTGTGCAGCTTACACAAACAATTGTGGCGCAAGAGGAGTTGCGCCATTGCGTAAAGTTTTGTTAAATCGGCTGCCAGTTTGCAGCATTGCTGATGTACTAGCATTGTGACTTAGGGCGTGATCCTTGGCTACTTGGCATATACAGTTTTCATGCCTTCTAAATAGGGCCATTGAACACAGATATTGACAACCATTAAAACTGATACATTCAAAATATATTCTATATGATATTTGGGTGATGATGGAATATTTTGAATATTTGGAACATTCAGAAAAGCAGTAAACTAAAAGTGGAATTGCTTTGTGCCATCAAGACTTGACAATTAACTCAAACCAACTTGACCAACACACAGCTGTGCAAAACTGACATAAGTTTGTGTAAAAATTTAAGTATAACTTCAGTAGGGACTCACCAACACACTGTCTGTATGCCTGGTCATACTGATATCCCGTTTGGCACTCACAGTGATAGCTCCCTCTAGTGTTATTACATCGGCCACCAGCGCAGGGCCTCTGCTCACACTCATTGATATCTGTTGGTAAAGATACATGTAACCATCATTCATATCGCCGGTTGCACCACAAACTGATTTAAAGTTGGTCATTATTTTGTAGACTCATTCCATATACTCCCTGTGTAAGAATTCAAGCTGTTTCGTTTTTGCTAGTAAATTATAGATTGAACTTTGTTGTATGCAATCCGTGTGCATCTGAGTTCCTTAGTTTTTGAAAAAAATCAGTCCCAAAGTTATTCGTCACCTCGTGAAACAGATTTTTACAATGTTTATTGTATGTCATACAACGCGAGTAATAGTGGCCGTGTGCCAGATACAGAGGTACGTCGGTTCGTGAAATGCTAAATTCTAAGTTTTTATGTCAACGCTCCTTTGTGACGTCATAGCACTATGGGAATTAGCGTGTAAAGTGGCGTATCGGGATACGCCACTTCGTGGTGCAGCATTTTTCATTTTTTAGAGATACGCCGCAAAGTCTAATTAGCGTTCTTAGTTCATTAAAACTCTGATCGGAATAAAACTTCCTGAGAATGAGCACTTTGATGAAATAATAACGTTAATGACAAAAACTCAATTTGGCAAAAAATCGAGATACGCCGGTTCGTGGTGTGACCGACGATATTGTGAGTGAAAGAACTCTTGAAGATGCATACCGCCTGCTCTTCAAAAAATGTACCTTTTTTTCTCCTTACAACTTTTCAATGTGCAGGCCTATGTTTTGTTTTGTTTAAATGAAAGAACTACTTTATTCTGATCTTTAATTTTCAATTTTAGGCATTGGAACAAAGGTAGCCTAATTGCCTCTGTGTGGATATTTGTCTGGCCTGCAAAAATGTGTTTAGCAAGTAAACACAATTCTAAACACTTTTCTTGCTATCACCTCAAGCTAAAAATGTTTAGCACGTTAACATGTTTACGAACTCATAGCAAGAAAGTGTTTAGAATTGTTGGCCACGCAAATAGCCACACAGAGGCAATTAGGTTATCTTTGTCCCAATGCCTGAAATTGAAAACTTGGTCCCATGGTCAGTTTGACCTCTCTTGAGAAATAACTCACAACTCTGTCAAAAATTATCAGATTTGGACGGTTGATGTCTCTTTTTAAAGTGGAAAGGCGTATCTTTCAAACCATACCTATATTATCTATGTTGGTTACATATTCTACGTCTGGCATTCCGTTATATTTTGTTTGCATTTTTTTTTGGTAAGCACTGTATAAGAAAATGGCAATTGGAAAAACAAATCTATTTCTCGTGGTAAAGCTCGAAAATAGCACAGGGAATGCATCTTTATATTAAAAAGTCCATAATATCTTCGAAATGTTTCCTGTTCAAGGCAAAATTCCATTTGACAATTTTCAAGAATGACTGTTTGAGTCTTTAAATGAATTGCACATTGAATATAACCACCTCGCCTCGCCTAACCCACGAGAACGAAATTATTTTCTGTCAGCCAATATTGAACATTTTGTAAAGTACTAATTCAGTAACTAAATATGGGCAGATTGTTTCAGTCAATGTCTCGTTGAAAAGTGAATAACTTTTGTACTGCTAGAGAAACAGCAATTTAGGAAATTAAATCTATTTTTCGGGATAAATCTCAAAATAGCACAGGGAACGCAGATTTAAACACAACACTTGAGCTGACTCACCTACACACGTTGCTTGAGAGCTGTCCAGTGCAAAACCTGGGTTGCAATCACAGTAATATCCCGGGATACTGTTTATACATTGGCCGTCCCCACAGATGTTTGGATGGTCAATGCATTCATTAATGTCTGATGAGATAAGAAAGGTGAAAATTACATTATGTACATGTGTAATCTCTGTTTTAATACTGATGTGAGAAATACAAGAATTATTCGTTCAGAGTCAGTTTCAGAAATATGGGCTGATCGCAGAGTTATTGTCAATTATTGCTTATATCAGGCTTCCAGTGGTAAAAATAAATCAGCGTATTGTATGCTTTCGTAAAAAGTACCCGAAGACTTCAATATTATGTCATTAGAAGAACCAGGATGATGACAATATTATTTCAATATTGTCCTCATCCGAGCCTTTTCAACAAATTTCACTGATTCTGCTAAATCAAGAGTTACTCTCAGTTGTTAACAAGTGAACAGAGCGTAGCGGTCGGGCACGGCGCGCTAGCTTTGCGCAATGAGAACTGCAACGTCAAACGCTAATCTAATGTTCGACAGGATATCAAAACCTTATCAAAGGTTATCTCACAGTGATTTAATTTGTTTCTCACACAGTAAGTTACAACCATTTATCTTTTTTGAGTTTTTGGCAAGATATAACAAAACAAGTGTTGACTGCTGTGATGTGGGATATGCCGTTTTTAACCCACTTGGGGCACACAGCACTCTCGGCTACGCCACTGGTGCTATGCACCCCCCTCGGGTGTTAAAAACGTCATATCCCACATCACTATAATCCACTCGGGGCACATAGCACTCTTGGCTACGCCTTGGGTGCTATGCGCCCCTTGGGTGTTTAAAACGTCATATCCCACATCACAGCAGTTAAAGCTATAGTCCATCATTTGCAGCTATCTGAAAAGTAACTGGCGTAATTATTGTTGAAAAACATACTTGGTTGAAAGATAGTAAGGGGACTAAACTCCCTGTGAAATGATTCTTTCTGGCAAGCTGTCATTTTGAAGTAATCAACCAAAGAAGGCCTTTCTAACGGTGCTTCTTAAGACGCACCGTAGCTGCAATCGGCTCAGTGAGAACGTGTCTCGGACACTGAATTCAGGCCCAATTCAAAACATGATTCAGCAACTTTTGATTTGAAATTGAGATCCTAGAATGCTGTTTTTCTCGGAATATACAGCTGAAGCTGAGCTGAAACTTCATCAGGTTAGCTGTTCAGTACCCTTCTTTAGATTTTGACCACTTTTGTTGCTTCAAACGAACAAAAATGCACAAATTACAAATGATGGACTATATTCTTAACAATTGTTAATTTTTCAATGACTTCTATTGACTCACCTAAACACGTCAGGTAATCGTCTCTGAACTCATAGCCAGGAGGGCATATGCACCTGTAGTTATCGGTCGTCACCTGACAGGTTCCATTACCGCAGGGGCTGTTTTGGCACCAGTCTTTATCTGATTCATGTCAACAAAAAAAAAAATAAGATCAGAATCAATCTGATACATGAAAGAAATGATGGCATTCCACACAGTACACTCACATGAAACAATGGTAACACCTTTAGTACAGTGTGTTCTGTTTCGGGCCAAGCCAGGTAACACTTCCCATGAATTCAATATTGGGTTTTGCCCTTTACCAACACATTTTTTATACTGTACAGGGTGAGTCAAACAACACGAAACCCAAATGTCAGGACTATTGTTCTAGTGAAGTTCTGCATGTAGCAGTTTCAAAATCTTGGATATAAAAACCCAATTCATAAGCTTTCTTTTAGTACAAGAATCATTCAAATCACTCAAGTACTTTTCAAGTTATGGAAGTTTTATCACAACCACCGTTTTAAAGTTCTGTCCACGGATCACACAAAAGGTGTGCGTTCTTTCAGCAAAACCAAAACATTTCACACACATCCCTATGTGATTCGTTTTCGTTTTGCTGAAAGAACTGTTACCGTTTTGTGATCCATGGACAGAACTTTAAAACGGTGGCTGTGTTTAAAAGTCCGTAACTTGAAAAGTACATCAGTGATTCGAATGATTCTTGTACCAAAAGAAAGCTTATGAATTGAGCTTTCATATCCTAGATTTTGAAAGTGCTACATTTAGAACTTCACTAAAACAATGGTACCGACACATGGTTTCGTTCTTTTGGACTCACCCTCTATACTCAGTGTTCTCCCGAGTGATTAAGAGAAAAAGTACAATGTATTCAGGTGGGACTCGAACTCACAACTTCCTGCTTACTAGTGCAGACGTCTTACCACTCGACCAACGAGATAGCCAGGATCGGCTGGCTGGTTCGAATCTGATACAGCAGGGGGTACTGCAACCAAACTATTCATACGATGGAATTTGAATCGGGTTGATTTAAATCTTGGGTTTTGCTCTTCACTGACGTATTTTATAAACACTGTATAGGCCTACTCACTGTTGTCCCAAGTATATTGTGAGAAAATACTACTTAGTTATTCTATAAACACTGTATACCCAGTATTGTCCCAAGCGACTAGGAGAACAAATTCACAAACTATCTGGGCGGACTAGAACTGACGACCTCCTGCTTAATAGTCCAGACGTCTTACGACCTTTACCAATTTTCATATGATTTTTTTATTGCACCCAAGGGAGGAGTTAGAGTCAAGGTACCAGAATACTGGGATGACAACCAGTGGCGTAAATCTGTGCCAGCGAGTGGGGGAAATAGGGGAAGACCAAATCCGAAAGGGGGGGGGGGAGGGTTGGACACCAGATTACACTAAGGGGGCCCTCTTCAGGATATAGATGTATATCAATATGTATACTCGCGTTTACATCACAACGGCGCATTTTAGCCCTAACAGTCCCGAATCCTCCAATTTTAATATGATTTTGCACACCCCCTAGGGAGTTAGGGTTAAAAGCTTTTGTACTTTGTTTCTTCACTTTTCAGTGCTATTGAATAAATTTTGGTTGTTGGGATGTTCAAAAAATACCTAGAAATCCGTTGTTTTTTTTCTCATCACGAAAAAGTGGGGGGGATGATTCAATAGCCCATCCCCCTGGTCCAAAAGTGGGGGGGGGGGGGGGGGATTCATACCCCTTCTTCCCCTGTGATTTACGCCCATGATGACAAATTATTATGGGTTTTCACCACTTGAATCCTATCAGACTTGTTTTTTTTTATTCCTCACCATGACAGGTGCGAGTGTGGCGTTGAAACTCCTGACCCGGTGGGCAGACACAGTAGAAACCACCGCGAGGATCCATGACGCATTTCCCCTCGTTGCAGATGGTTGGAAACATGTTACAGGTAGTCTGAGCTGGGTACGATAACCAAACAACAAATAGATCAAATGGCTTGCCTTAAACTGAATGGAATTTTCCAAACAAAGGCTTTCACAAGACTGGCATAACAATTACCAACATTGCAATCTTCTCCAGTTGCCAATCAGGGCAGTGAAAAACTTGACCGACCATTTGATTCCTTATGAATACGTACGTAGAAAATGTAAAAAAAAGATAGGGCTGGGCAAACATTTACAGAAAGTAAGTGAATCTAGCCCAGTCCAGGGGCTTTTGAGAGAAAAATTTTCAACAAGGCCTGTACGTGAACTTCAGCCTTGTGGTTGTAACTGTTTTCCCAACTACTTCTTCCATGTCCTATTTCAGTAAGTAATTGGTTAATTTCATCCTTTCTTGTAAAGCAGCCAAATCACAATGAAGGAATATAAAAAAAATGTAAGAAGGCTAAGAAAACAATTGTTTGGAGCTTCTCAGTGCACAAATATTGCTTTGCAAATTTATTAGCAAAAGACTGAACTAAGCGGGAAACCATTCACAAACATGCTTTTGTGTTACCCCTAAATCATGGAATCAACTGCCACTTGATATCAGGGAAGTGACGTGCACTGCCATGTCTTCAAGCACCTACTCAAAACACACTTATTTCCAAATGTATGGTTTGTTGATTTTCTATGCTTATTTCTTCTGAATCAATGTACTATTGTTTGTTGTTATTGAGAAGTGCTGTGTTCTTTTTAAAGTGCCATCTAAATACTTTGAATTAATTTAACCTTCGACATGAGTATGGTATTTTCCACGCACGGTTCCAGGACTGTACTACAGTTTGTAGTACACATTATTATAGGGTCCCAAATCCACTCAGCTATTTGCTGTCTATCAAATTTAGGTTTTAAAGTGGTCAGGAGACTGTGGTTTTTGTCAGAGGGGCTGGGGTTTGGCTAGGAATTTTAGAGTCGATACTCCAACTCTGGTTAAAGGGGTTCCCATCACTTTGTTTGGCTATGTTTGAATGAAGAGCTTATACATATAAAAAAAAATTTTATCAACAAAGTCGGTGTTATTAAAAATTCAAGCAAACCAGACTACACTTGTTAGTATGCTGCCTGCGCGGGAGCAATTTACATAATATAATTTTTTGGCTGGTAAACCAGTTTTTGTCAAACCAAGACTTTCTGTGCTCAGCCAACTGCATGTTTTGTAGCAGCTCCCTGGAATTGGAGCTTTGATTCTTTAAGTTCCTGGCTCATGGGAATCTTACTTGTGCAGACGTGTTGGCTTCGGTCAAACAGCTGTCCGTCGGGGCATAAACAATCGATGGTGTTTCCGACGATCACACAGGTGCCGTTGTTACAGGTACTGCCGTGGATCCTGCACAGGTCCATCACTGAGGAAATAGAAAAATACCCAAACAAATTAGCAATGTCCTACGTCAACTCCAGAGCCGTTCAAACTGTGAGACTTGTGAACTGGTAGAAAAAAACATTTCTTTATCACTGTTCACCCGCTACAACATGTGACTGGACTTGTGAATTCACTTGAGCTTTACTTGCGACCGAATTTGTGACAGACATGACTACAACAAGTGTAATTTCAAAAGTGACATCACAATTTCAAACACACATTTTCAATTTCATCGAATTTTGCTGTGAGATGTTTGTCTTGTCAAACTCACATCAAAATATAAATCAATTTTGTGTCAGATAAAAACAGTTTAGTTCTTTTCTTGTATTACTATTCATCTAAAATGGATAGGAGAAAAAATTGCTGATACTTGCTGGAAAGAAAACAAAGGAGGTATCAGTTTTTGAGAAAATAACTCAAAATAACATAGAACAAACTGAGAATATCTCTACACAGTAAAACTGTTTTCAAGAATTTTTTTTACTGTTAAATTACAAATTTTACTGTTAAATGTTTAATCAACGTTAATATTTTTCTTGTGGCAAAAAATACACAGTACAGTTCTAAACTTGACTCTAACCTGCACAGAAGCCGAGTTGTTTGTCAAACTCAAACCCGTCTGGGCACAGGCACTCATAGCCATGCATATCACTGCGACAAGTCCCATTGTTGCAGATGTTAGGATAGGCTTCGCACATGTCTTTAACTGTAGGGGGGAAAAAACACAAGCATGTTTCCCTGTGTCAAAAGAGGGGGCAATATTTTGCACTTGATTTTATCAGTTAATAGTATAACTTATAAACTCTTAGTGTACAGTGAATTGATAGAGTGGAGTTAAAATCGCTTTTTAATCAGCAAATCAGTGCTGAAATGTAGACATTTTTCTCCGGACAACCGGCCTCCGTAAAAAAGTGGGTGGGTGGGAGGGGGGAGGGGGCCTGGTACCATCTTCCTATGGGGGCACTGTTCAAATACGACAATCATGCATGCTAAGCCTCTGTGCCCGAGTGTTGCGGACAGGCAGACATATAGGTATTTATTATTACTATAATTGTCTTCTTCTTTCTTTTTTTTTGTGTCATAGCAGGGGTTTTTTTTGGGGGGGGGGAGCTTGTTCCAGAGTACTGAAAGACGATGATTTTCAAGCCGCGCGGGTAAGTTCAGGAACAAAAAGGGCACACAGTTGCCCAAGCCAAATATTCGGGGGGGTTTCGGGTTGGTTCTGTCTCGGGTCAGGTCGGGTCGGTTTTCCTTGAATTTTTGTCAGGTTGGGGTCAGGTTGGTTTTAGGGAGTTCAGATCAGCTTCGGTTCGGATTCTACTTTATATGTATAATATTGCCTGGTCAAACTGACCCGATGCACAAGATTATTCCACACTCAGTGAGTTGATTATTATTGCACTTACACACACAGGCACCCAGGGTGTAGTCAAAGTCGTAGCCGGGTTCATCACAGAGGCAGACATAGCCATCATCGGTCATGTGACAAGTGCCGTTACCACAGATGCCGGGGATAGCCACACAGTCATCCGTTACTGTCAACAAGGAAATCAATTTGCATTTAAGCCACACGTGCTACTGTATTCATAGTTGCTATAACAGGACTTGTGAATACCCAGTTACTCATTAACCCTGATTTTTTTTTCTCCCTACAAACGTTCCCGAATCCTCCAAAATCTACCAAAATCTAAAGGTATCAAGCCTAATGTAGCCTTGATCAAGGCATTATCAATAGTGTCCGTGATGGTATCTGGCCGCTTACATAAACACTAGCCCCCTGCTATGCACTCTATGATCCGCAAAAGCCACTTCATGCGTCTACAATATGCAAATCAGTTGGTGAAGGACGAACGCCTTGAAACCACAGATCGCATTGGCTTATCTTTTTCTTTATTTTGTTGCGACGACCTCTTTGCATTTCATAACATTATAGGGTCAAATTTTGTAGCTGGTGATTAGTCGCTCCATACGTTAGCCCCGCCCACGACCAAGTTCTCAATAATAATCCTCATCTGTGTTCACACAGGAAGTCGTCGCTGGAAATCCAGTGAAAAAAATTAAGAAAAGGATAAGCCAATGCAAATGGTTCTCCCAAGGCATTCATCCTTGACCAACTGATTTGCGTATTTTAGACATGTGAGGGCACTGTTCGCGCTTTGTACAGGGCAAGGCGCGGCTAGTGTTTACGTGAGAGACCGGATGTCATCAAAGACACTATCGACATACCCCTTGACCAAGGCTGGCCCTAATGTAAAGGAATAGTGACTGGCTCTAAATCCTATACAAAATCCTTCACAAACTGGTCGATTTTGAGGGATTTAATAGGAGTAAGGTTAATATGTAATATTCATTGAGGTTCAACTTTTGTTTCAAATTTAATGTAATTAAGCCCATTTGAGCCATTCAAATACAATCGAACAAACTGTTTGATTTACAATTTTATCGGTTAGCAGTATTAAGGAAACAGTAATGTTTCAATTTGTAATGGCATTCATGAGAAGTTAAAAAAAAGAGGAAATCAGCAGATCCGAGGAAAAGTTGCATGCCTGACAACAGCAGTGAGTTTTGCCCATAGAGCTATATTAAATTACTAGAGCACTAACTCGATGTACAAAGTAATGCCTGCTGGGCGCATCCATGTTTGTACACAAATTTATGGAAAACTAGAAATTTTGTACGGCTTTTGTACAGCTATTTGCATATCTGCGTTTGTATTCCATACCGATGCATTATCGAAGCCAATAAGCCCAAAACCGAAACGCACGATCAGCAAATGAGCGTGCCATTTTGCTCTGCGCAAACTGCGCAACGCGTGCGCGTATTTGCTGCAGATGCTTTTTTGCCGTGACGTTTAACTGTCATGACGCGCTTAAGTTGTTTGCGTATGTTCTACTTGCGCATTGCATGTAGAGTACACTTTCAAAATTCAATCCATCTAATTTCATTATGTTCTACAAACACGCACATGAATTCAAAATGTCTGCACCCAGAGCGGCTTCAAAGCGTCTCCGCGCGCAAGAATGAGGAGTTAGCGCTCTAGTAATTCAATATAGCTCTGTGGTTTTGCCAGAGTTCCGAAACATTGAGTGGTTGACTGTTACTTACGCAGACAAGCACGATTCCGGTAGCTGTACTCATAACCCGATGAGCATTGACACGAGTAACCACTGTCATCAAACACACAGGTACCATTGCCACATAAACCAGGATAGGCTGTACACTCATTGGCCACTTTTGAAAAAATAAGAGGAGAAAAAAAATATGGATGAGTTTTTCAAGGATAATGTAGTAAAATCCATTGTTTTTTCAAATGCATAATATTCAAGGCAATTCAACTCAACAGTAGTCTATGGAATAGCTCCTTGCACAGCAAGGGTCTATGATATGCAAACAGATTACTTATGCAAAACAAGGCTGCGTCCTGACCTCGAGATTCAGCGGGCGTCTTCTATCAGGTCTTCTGTAACTCGTTGTTGTATTACAAAACCATGTTACCCAAATTGACCAATCAACAGCTTAGTCCTCGTTTTTTTATCTAAATGGCGTCACAATTTCTAAAGTCGGTTTCGATTGGGTGGCGCACGGGGTCGCATAAACATAAGATGATAGTTACTGAGAGAGCCCCGTTGGACAACAGGTGATACTCAAACTACGCAAAAGCGGACCTTGCTGAAAAGTTGAACATTTTCATAATCTTTAGAACTACAACCATCAAAACCTCAAATGTGGCATGAAATTAATGGGGACAAGGCCATTTATTTGAGTGATGCAGCATTTATCCAACAATATTTTTGTTTTGGTAAATTATGGATTTTAGGTAGTCATTTTGGCACCCTTTAGATGCAAAATGCAAGTGTTATTGTGAGTTTTTGTTTTTAAGGCGGAGAGAAAGGTTAAATGTTTTATATGAAAAGAGGTTTTAGTTTGATTATTAATTTCTTATATGTTTTAACTTGTTCCAAAGATGGCCAGACAAACTGTAACACGAGTTACCGTAACGTGACTTACCGATATATGACCCTCTAGAGAATTCATGATTGATCATTTTTTTTTAATAATTGAAATAGTAGCATCTACAATATCTATCAAAGTTCTTAGAAAGAATTTTGATACCTTCACAGCGCCTGTTGCGAGTGTTGAATTCATAGCCGTCAGGGCACTGGCAAGTATAGAGCATCTCTAGGTCCTGACATGGGTAACCTCGACAGATGTTGGGATACTCAATACACTCATTGATGCCTGATTAGAAAGACATCAAAGGAGACTGTTTAATGCCATACAACTACATGTACAACTTACTAGTCCAAATCCAAACAGAAGGAGCCTAATAAAACATCATTAACCAATGAGGAACCTGTAACTTTGCACTTCTTGCCCCCCCCCCAAAAAAAATGTTATATTTGTTTTATTACACCTCATTCAACAAAATTTAACAGATTTTAATTTCTCTCAATATATAAATTTTTGTCTCTTTGTGTGTGACACTTTTGTGCTAAAGAATTTGTTACATTTCAGGAACAATTTTTATAGTGTTATCACCTATAATACACACAACATACCAGACTAAATGCAATAAAAGATGGTTTCGTCCCAGTTTTTTTTTAAAGGCAATAGACACCTTTTGCGAGCATTAAAAAACAAAACTTTCAAAATATCATGAAATATCCTACTTGATTGGTTTAAATTAAGTAAATTAAGTAATTAATACGATCATGTATCCTGTGAAATCATTGCCAATAGTATTCTGTCATTTTCGAGAAAAGAAGAATTACCATCACTTCCTCTCCTAATGGTAAGGACCAAACCATCGCGCATTCAACAAAAATCTATGCTTTGTGTCAAGAAAAATGAAGATGCTTTTTAAAACTTTTCTCAAAAGGACCGAGCTGAAATTTTGACAGGCTAGTATTTTTTTAATAACCTGCTTATTTATTGTACTATTGTTCCTTGAATCGGCAAAAACACTTTTTTTTAAAGGTGTCCTTTACCTTTAAGCCTCAATATTCTCAGTGAAGAAGAACATCTGTTCAGTGAACTTGCAGTCCAAGTAAGAAACTCTTCATAAGTGAAAAACTAATTCCTTATACAAAAAAAGAGTTGTTTCCTTCCTAATGTTTTTGTTTCCCCATTGCAAACTCTCCCCCCCCCCCAATTTTATTTATTACTTATTTTTTTGATCTAGAATTACAGATGTCCAAATAACTTGCCTTCACATCGCATGCTGGCTGTGTTAAATCGAGACCCTTCACGGCACTGACACATGTACAACACTACAAGATCCAGGCAGGGCTGGCCGTCACATATGTCAGGATCTTCTTCACATTCATTGATTCCTAACAAGGTCAAAATCATACAAAACAAAGTTAAGTTTACTGAAGATATGGAGAATGCGGATACAAACCTCTACAAAAATCACCATTCCCTCCCCCTCCCCCACCCCCCCCCCCCCCCCCCCCCCCCACAAATGATGTGTTTTACCCAAATCATTTTAAAGTAATTTTCAAACAGTTTCATTGCGGTCCCTACATCAGATTCGAACCAGCCAGCCTATCCCGGCAAGCTCGGTGGTCGAGTGGTAAGACATCTGCACTAGAAAGCAGGAGGTCGTGGGTTCGAGTCCCACCCGAGTGATTTTTTTCTCACTTACACTCAGGGGGTAAAACACTGAGTATATAGTGTTTATAAGTCGGTACAGGGCAAAACCTAATATTCAATCTTTAAGTAAGTTGCTCCTGTGACTTGCACAATATATATTGGTGTAAAAATACAAATAACACAAAGGTATGTTATTATAAACTGACGTTTGAGTGTCAATGAGCTTGTTGGCATTAAATTCATTCTAATCAAGATGAGAAATTCACAACACTGCTTTTTTAAGCTGAGGGTCGAAAAATGTTGGTTTGACGGTCAGAGAATCTGCATGAGCAGCACACTTTTGGGTACTGGAGTTCAAATTACCATGTGGACCTTCTAATGTCCTTTATGCTGTGATTATTCCTATATGATGAAGACTTTAAAATGCTTTTAATCTGAAGAGGGCTTTGCAAGTTTTGCTCGGTATAGATCTTCAACAGCTTTGTAACCCTGGTTGGCCTTTTGACCTTTGCCCTTTGACCTACCCTCACATCGCCGGTATTCCAGGTTGAATCGGGAGCCCTCTGGACACTCGCAGGTGTACATCACATCAAGGTCAATGCAGCGTTGGCCCCTGCAGATGTTGGGGTATTCTTCACATTCATTGATGCCTGGTGAGAAAAGTGTGAACAAGAAATTGTGACTGAAGCCCACAACAAATCTCACCTTTTGCTGGTCCTAGCTAGAGGGCTGGCCTGCTGTGTTGTTTGTGCCCATCTCACTGACTGACAGACTTGACTGTCACTTGTGAATTAGACTGGTTGTAAGCTGGTGAAGAGAGCCGGGCAGTGCTGTCGTATAGGATTACCCATAATGCTAATGAATTGGCTAATTCTGACCCACTATGTAGATCAGATACATGAAAAGAGTTCCAGCAAATAACCATTCTGATTCAATTGAAAATATTTTTTGTGCTCTGACTAAGACTGATCTTTGAACACCTATTACTATTTCACACACTCAGATCTTTATTTATTTATGATATATTACTAAGGGCCCAAAAGTAGTTGTGTTGACTTCTCATTCAGTCTGTTGGAGTGGGTGCACTGCCAACTGTACTAAGATCACACCTCTTCCTCACAAGTCAAATCAAAAGTCTGTCTCAAGTCAAATCACAAGCCAGTCACAAGTCAGTCACATGTCAAATCACAAGTCAGTCACAAGTCAAATCACAAGTCAGTCACAAGTCAAATCACAAGTCCAGTCACAAGTCCAGTCACAATAGTGTCTCAAGTCAAATCACAAGCCAGTCACAAGTCAGTAACATGTCAAATCACAAGTCAGTCACAAGTCAAATCACAAGTCAGTCACAAGTCAAATCACAAGCCAGTCACAAGTCAGTCACATGTCAAATCACAAGTCAGTCACAAGTCAAATCACAAGTCAGTCACAAGTCAAATCACAAGTCCAGTCACAAGTCCAGTCACAAGTCAAATCACAAGCCAGTCACAAGTCAAATCACAAGCCAGTCACATGTCAAATCACAAGTCAGTCACAAGTCAAATCACAAGTCAGTCACAAGTCAAATCACAAGTCCAGTCACAAGTCAGTCACATGTCAAATCACAAGTCAGTCACAAGTCAAATCACAAGTCAGTCACAAGTCAAATCACAAGTCCAGTCACAAGTCCAGTCACATGTCAAATCACAAGTCAGTCACAAGTCAAATCACAAGTCAGTCACAAGTCAAATCACAAGTCCAGTCACAAGTCAAATCACAAATCAGTCACAAGTCAAATCACAAGTCAGTCACAAGTCAAGTCACAAGTCAGTCACAATTCAAATCACAAGTCAGGTAACAAGTAACAGGTGATAAACAATGACAAATCATTGCCTTTATCAAATTTAGTTTGAATAGCTAGTCACTTGAAATGAGACTGGAGGGCATAGTATAGACTAGTGAGGACCTGACTACAACCCTGCCATTGAGCGAGTCTGACACACACAGCCCAGGTTGGTCCTTGATACCCCTCAGTCCTTATTCTTACCTTCACAAGTCTTGCTGTCCATGTTGTACCGCTGGCCGTCTGGGCACTCACAAGTGTACATCATGTCACGATCGGCGCATGTGTACTCACCACAGATGTTGGGGAAGACCTTACACTCATTGATACCTGAAGAAAAGTCAAATAAGATTTTTGTCTCTTTTTCCCCCATTTTCACAGATCAAAATAGTTCACCCTTTAATACCAACCATTACTTGGGAGAACTTTGCACACATGCCATGTGACAGTGACTACTGATAACCAAAAATGAGAGTAGGATGTCATCAGGATAATCATCCTGGTCTACTGAACATGCTGAACATCAAGTTAAATCCTGCGGCCAGCTTACCGGTGTCTCTGTTTGCCTCGAGGACTGGGTGGAGTCCGTCGATGAACTGAATCTCTTGATGGCCGGGCCCCATGGGACACACCTCATCATACTCCGCTGAAAATTCAAACATTATCAATCTTTTCAACAATCTGCAAAATTACACCAGCGCCAAGCTGAAGTCATGAATATAACTCCTATGTTTCATAAAACATGCCTTTAACAGTGATAAATTGAATGCTCTTCCGTAAAAAAATGATATCAAAAAGCTAAACAAAACAAAACAATTAAAAAGTTTTAATATACAGGTAAAGTATCCATCCACCAAGTTTTGTTGGTTTTTTTTTTCCAAATAAGATCAACAGCAATGCTATCAATTTAAAGCTATAGTCCATCATTTGCAGCCATCCGAAAAGTAACTGGCGTAATTATTGTTGACAAACAAACTTGGTTGAAAGATAGTAAGGGAACTAAACTCCCTGTGAAATTATTCTTTCTGGGAAGCTGTCATTTTGAAGTAATCAACGAAAGAAGGCCTTTACAACGGTGCGTCTTAAGACGCACCGTAGGAAAATTTAAATTAGTAGTTCGTTTTGTTATTCGGCGAAGCGCGCGCAAACATTGGCACGACGCACACGCACCCCTGGTTGCTATAATTCGTCGGATCAGTGGGCGACGTCGTGTATAGCTGCAATTCAAAACAATTCAAAACATGATTCAGTAACTTTTGATTTGAAATTGAGATCCTAGAATGCTGTTTTTCTCGGAATATACAGCTGAAGCTTAGCTGAAACTTCATCAGGTTAGTTGCTCAGTATCCTTCATTAGATTTTGAACACTTTTGTTGCTTCAAACGAACAAAATGCACAAATTACAAATGATGGACTATATCTTTAAATAAATGCAATTTTCATTACATTTGACTTTGGATAAAACATACTGGATGGCACCCATGATAACAGTTTACACCCGATAACACTCATGACAAACTTGTGGTAGGCCTACTATGAGAGTTTGGCCAAATGATGGCTAAGTCTCTCACTCCAGACATGTTTAACCCCTGACTTCAACTCAATACAAGTCCATGTTCACTTCAGGAACACGAAATCCTATACTAACCTATAGAAAGCGTGAAATTTTGAACCGCTTTTGTACGGCTATTTTTTGTGGCATATCTGCGTCTGTACTCGAAACAACTGCATAAATGAAGTCCAAAACCAAAACACACCATCAGTAATTCGGGCGATTCATACTGCAGTGCGCCACCAAGAGTTTGCCATGGAGAGTCCATTTCTCAAGTTTACGGTCGACAAAACATGGCCCGTTTGAATGAGTGTCAGTTAAGACAACTTGAGCTAATTTTTGTTACAGATTGGGGCATAGCATTCTGCCGCCTTACAAAAAACACCATAATTGTTAAAAAGAAAATAAAAGGACAAAAATATACTTGAATCATAAGCTTACGAAACTACTGGCCGGAAAAGTAACAATTTCAAATGTCCCGTGCTGCGAATTTGTCGACCATCTCCCACAATGCACTGGGAAAAATGAACTCTCCGTAGCAAACTCTTGGTGGCGCACTGCATTGTGAATCGCCCAAATTGACTGAATCATTTGGCTGGACCCAAACACCTCACAATTGCAAACATGCGCCTCCAACGATTTCTTATTTCATACTTATAAGCTGCACTCACTGCAGCCGCGTCTGTAGAAATCTATAGCTCTGCATTCAGACCTCACTGGTAAACTTCCATTCCATCTCATTTTAACATTTCCGACGATCATGCACATTCATTCAAAATGTCTACGCCACGGTTGCTTCCCAGTAGTATTCTAAACCAAGGAATTAGGATCACTAGCAATTACCTGGAAAGTGCCTACAGAGTTTATGGCTGCATCCGAATCAACTGTCTAGAGCTAGGTCTAGGTCCGCGCCCATTGAAAATACGCGGGGACGCGCTGACAATAGACGTAGCCGTAGCTCTGGAAGCCCGTTTCGGACACGGCCTATGACTGAAATCTTGCTTTAATTGAAGATAGGACTGGTACCAAATACCTTGTAAAATTGTTCTGCCTGAAGTGGTATCATTTTGGGAGAAAACTTAAATTGAGGGTGGTTTCAAAATAGAGCAATGGCGGGTACAGTTAATTTTTTTACGTGACTTAGCAAGGGAATCCAGTAAGGAGGCCCCAAAAAATTGTGCATACATTTTCTCTGTTTTCTCAAAAAGTATAGCATTAACTGAGCTGAAAGATAAACAGGTTAGTTGTTAAGCACCCTATTTAAGATTTTTGACCAGTTTTGTTGCTTGAAACGGGTGAAAAATGCACAAAAAGCAAATGCTCCAACGTACCTAAAAAGCCGGACACAAAAATGGGGTTCCAACAAACCCATCGGAACCATGCCACGGAATCTTTGCTTCAATGAGAAAGAATCGACTTACGTGAATTCTGGGGTGGGCAGATCCACAGTTGGCAGTCGTCGCCCCAGCCGGCCCCCACGCTGCAGCAGCATTCCTGTCGCGTGACGTTGGACGCCAGCGTGTTGCTGCAGAAGTTGGGATCGTCCACCGAGGCGTAACAGTCCTTCCTCTCCGGGCCTTGCTCTACTTCAGGAGCGGTCGTTGGTTCTTCAGTGGTTTCTGACCACACCAAAACAGAAATAAATTACAAAACTGAACAGAGAAAGTGCCGAAAGCGGGATTTGAGTCTGCTACCTCTGGAGCACCTTGCTCTACCAACTCAGCTATCTATTCCTATGTTGGCAGTTTCCCAATTTGTCAATTAAAACCCACAATGCCTAGTAGCAAGGGATCACACCCGAAGTCAAGCCCTGAACAATAATAACAATGTTGCAAACCTGGAAAATGTCAAACATGGATTACTCAGTGAGGATACAGCTCTTCATTTATAAAAAAAAAAAGGATACTGCAAAATTATTAACTTTGTTTTTGTTTTTTAGTGAAGTAGTTTTGTAATCAATCTCGTAAACATCATATGTAATTAACACAGGACTACCATCAGTGGTTCAGGATGTAGGTGTGTCAAAGATTGTGTTTCAAATTGTTTCAAAATGGCTCTGAATGTGACATCCGTAATGATGGAATTGCCCCATAGCAATTTCTTTTTGTGCTTAGAAATTTTCTGTGCTGAGAACCTCTTCGACCCCAACTGACTCCTGCAGTCTACCTTATCAACAAAGCACTGGAATGAACAAAAGTTACAGTTGCTGAAGTTGCACTCCTAGGAGACAATTTGTTTATACCTACCAAATTCCACGTAGATGCAGTTGCGCATCTGCTCGTCGTACACTGCTCCTCTTGGGCACGTGCAGGTGTAACTGCCAAAAGTGTTGACACACGTCACTCCCATGCCGCCGCAGATATCTGGAGTGTCGGTACACTCGTTAATATCTGGAAGGGAAAAAATTGGGTGGCTAGTGAATAAAAGTGCTCGTCTCTCACCACTGTGGCCCTGGTTCGTTCCCCGGCTCAGGTCATGTGTGAGTAGAGTTGTGCGTTGGTTCTCTCCTGTGCCACGAGGGTTTTTCTCAGGGCTCTCCGGTTTTCTTCTGTCCGAACAAAATCAAACACTTTTGATCTCAGGCTGTGCTCTGTGGTCATATACGGGTCATATGGCGGCTGCCTGAGGTGCCTTTACATGCCTGCTGCGACCACGTTGAAGCTGCGTCCTTCGCAATTCAGCTTCACGGCTGCGAGGATGATGATCCTCCCAAATTGATATGATTATTATTACAAAAATCAATGAGTCTGCAAGATTTCTGGGCTTTAAGGATGTTCCAAGACTACATTTGGATGTAGCAACTAGCAAGCACAGTCAAGCCACTGCAGCAGTAGAGGGCCCTACCAACAAGATCAATCAAATCCAGGCTTTGGAACATTGGCACTCGGGCCAGCGAAAAATTCTAAGCACACCTCATGCATGCTATATTAAAAGCTAATACGTGCGCGTGATGATGCACACTTGCTCAGAATTCCTCAGGTCTGAGCGCCATAATTCCCAAGATTGAATTGGATTCATCATTTTACAAATAGATGTTGTTGCTGGCGGTTCGTGGCCAAAAGCGGTTCGTCGTGATAATGCCCTCTCGCGGCAGCGGGTTATCGCGTATCAAACCACAACAATGTTTGCCCCTAGACTAGGTAGAACCACTGGGTGCTAGGAGGAACTCTTAAACGCATTGCCAACACTTTCTGATGCTCACGTTAAGATGCTATGGGTATCTTCTGTTCGTGCATTGAGTCCCATTAACTCACCAGTGCAGGTTCGGGGCTCAGTCAGGGTTGAACCAGGCGGGCAGACACAGCGGAAGGAACCTGGCTGGTTGATACACTGGCCGCCAACACAACTGTCTTCATCCTCACACTCGTTGATATCTGAAATCATGAGCGTTTGCCAAAACAACATTTCACTCTAAGCGTCGGTTCATACTTGACGCGAATGCTAATGTGAAGCAAATTCGACGTCACGAAACGTTCGCTGCGAAATTCGAATCAGATCTAGCAATGAGTATGTCATGAGAGTTTCCAGGATTGTTAATATACCTCTGCAATGGCGGGCTCTGGAATCATAATGGTAGCCTTTGATGCATGCAGACTGCATGCAGAAGTAACTGCCGTAGGTGTTGAGGCATTCATTGACCCCACAGGGGCTGCGTAGACATTCGTTGATGTCTGGAATAGAAACATATAAAGACCATACACTTAAGCCACATGTCTGTAATTACTTGGCTGTGGCTGGCAATAACACACTGATCTATGGGAAGTGGATTTAGCCCTTACATAGGCCTATGCATAATAGACAGCCGCAGCCAGTGATTCAGATGAAGCGGCTTTGTTCCGCGTCATATTATTGAGATCAGAGAATAGTGCATGCTTAATTCGACAGTTTTGTGCCAAGTAAGGGCGAGTCAGAATGATCTGGACCCAAGTTCACCATTTTTTTTGTGGCAAATGAAGTATATTGAGAAAAAACTGAGTGTTTCATAGGAATAGTTAGTAATACCTTGTCTTCCACAGGAATTTTGAATTTTTCAAATAAGTGGCTGAAGTGAGGAGTTATGCCATTTTCATTGAAGTGGCTCATTTTCCAGTCTGCACACGGAATTGGTTTTGCCTTTATTAAATGTGTCAATAACTTCAAGTGAGTCAGTCACCATGACTAGGTTTTTGTGTGTTATTACACTGCTTCACATCTGTATGCAATTTCAATAAATTGGTTGTACCATGGAACCGTGGTCAGAGTGTTTTTGAGCGTGTGTTCTTTGCTAGCGTTTTTCTTCAAAATGGTACAATTGATACACATGAAACTTTCACCAAATATGTCCAAAATACCAGCCTATAACATAGCTCATTTGCACTTGTTTTGATAGTTGCTACATATTTTAAATATTTTCTTTAATTTGGGTCCAGATCATTCTGACTCACCCTGTTCCCCCTCATTGGTTACAAGAGAGAGTGTGGCAGGCCTTTGAAACACATTGTCTTCATGTCTCTGGCCCTAATAGAAGATGACACAGGTTTGCGCAACATTCAGAATAAAGTTAAGTGCTGACTACTTTGCGCCATACTCGCGAGAACTAGTGCACGTACACAGTGTGTCCCACGAAGGGAGCTCTTACCAGAAGTCATGTAGTGCCATGTACTGTCCATGCACAGATTGTGTTATACTGCAGATGGAAGCAATCATTGGTGTTGTAATGGGACATGGTGTTTATAAAACCCTCGGGATCGTGCCACCTTAGGCAAAACCGAGTCTGCCATGCACTCTTCAAGTATTAAAATCACTATGTCCCACACATCACAGTAGTCCAAAGTTGTCAATATCTCTCAATGGTATTGGAAGACTTTGTTACACGTTGACATATAAATTACCTCTACAGGTGTTACCACTCTGCTGTAGTCCCGGGCTGTTGGTACATCGGCAGAAGTAGCTGCCCATGGAGTTGATGCATCGTCCCCCTTGGCAGACATCCTGGTCCTCATGGCACTCATCAATGTCTGTAAGGAATCAGTTAGTCTCTGAATACACAGCATTCACTGCTTTGAAAAAAAAATTTCGCTACCCGGGCTGTTCCGAATTTTTAGCCTTGAGCCTTGCACATCTTTTGATACCAAAAACATGAAAATCGGACCACGGGTTGCCGCACAGCGAAAAATTCTTGGACGCTGAATTCAGTCCCAATTCAAAACATGACTCAGCAACTTTTGATTTGAAATCGAGATCCTAGAATATTGTGTTCTCTGAATACACAGCATTCACTGAGCTGAAACTTCATCAGGTTAGTTGTTCAGCACCCTTCTTGAGAATTTGAGGACTTTTGTTGCTTCAAACAAACAAAATGCACAAATTACAAATGACGGACTGTACTTTTAACAGCATTATCACGATAACAAATTATTTGAGATCATGAAATATGCTTCGCTTTCATTTATAGCATACGAATTATGAATCGAACCCCCCAAAAATTCTTTCAGACCAAAAAACTTCCCCTTCTCTTAGGTTGCATGCAATTTAATGGGCAAACAGACTGACCTTCACAAGCCTGTCCTTCATTGGTGGCTCTGAATCCACGTTTGCAGTTGCACTTGTACCCGTCCGGTGTGTTCACGCACTGACCGTGTGCACAAAGTAGGCCGTTTTCGGCGCATGCATTTGTGTCAATAGCTGTGATCGGAGCAAACAATACAGACAGAACGCAAAACAAACATAGTTAGTTTAACAGTACAAATGTCAAAATTCAAGGTTATTACAACTTTAAGAAAAAGTTCTTTTTAAAACTGTAACCAATTTCAATAATGAACTAGGAGGAACGCTTAAAAAAAAAGATAAAAAATACATGATACAATACATGTAAGTCACTAGTACGTATTAAACTTTAGTATAGTGTGCACTTATGAAATTGTTACATGTAACAGATTTTCACACACAGTAGCAAATAGTGAGAATGAGAAAAAAAATAATAAGAGAGCGAAAGTTATTAAGCCACTTAAAATCAATCTCTGCGCTTTAAGAATGCTCTAAAGCAAAGCTGCATGATTTAGAGAAAGAGTTTTACAGCAGCTATATTTTGTATTGGAAGAAATCTCAATAATATGCCGAGAATGGTAGACATGCAGATTGTCTAGAGAAGATTATGTTAAAGGGAATATATACAACATTTGTTTTTGCTGCAATTTTCAGAAATTGTTGGATTTGGGGGTTAATATTTTTATACATATATATTGTTTCACTAGCTTTTTAAAAGTTTTGTGTTCATAGATGCTGGAAAAACAAGAAAACAATCATGTTCATAAAGTCGGGTTCCCTGACCCCACTTACATGTAAGATGAAACGGAGCAATTTATAGACTTTGGGGAATTGTAAGGTCAGGAAACTAGCTAACTGGCTTGCACCCGTTCCCAGACGTGTAACCAACTGCGAACAACATGTGGACAGAAAATTTGGTAAAACGGGGGAGGTAGTTGGAAAACAGTCAGGTTTTTCCAATGCTGGCCGGCCGACCAGCGTTGGAAATTGATACAAAAATACCACTTTTCTTGAAAATGACAGCACACCAGGTGCCATGATTTTACAGGATACTTTAGACTGTCATTCAGTAACAGTTAAGTAAGGTATTTCATAATAATTCGGTATTTTTGTTTTTTGATGTTTGCAAATGTTGTATATTCCCTTTAACTTAGTGCAGTCCAGGGAATTTTGGACTCACAAACTGCCCTTTTAAACCTTAGGACATTACAATATGTCTTTAGTGCCCCATTATTATGTCCTGTAATGTTGTTTGTTTTTTAAAGGCGACTTGTTGGGAAGACAGTTAATCGGACTTGTGATACTGACAGTTCAAGGTGTAACTTTGAATGCTCTGAATCCAAAGAGGGTAACAAGGAAAAAATTCTCATCCCTCCCTTTTTCCCGCCCACTTCCTTTGTATTTTCTTTTTGAAAAAAATGTTGCAACCTGACGCCGCTTTTTGCTTCATTTAGGCCTATCATCTCAATGAAGGTCAGTCATTGCAAAAAGGATGATAAGACATGAATCTGGGACTGAGAAACATTTTCAATTTTGTTAGGAAATACAACATTTTCTTGACTCTCCATAGACTTTGTACACGCCATCTTTATTTTTGGGTCGCGTGTTGTCGCCGCGCTGTCATCGTCATTTTACCCCAAAATTTACCTCGAAAATTCAAAACCCTGCCCTCTATCTATGACATACCTGTTATGTTAGGCCTAATTGAGAATGTCGCCAACTACTAGAACTAGTTTGGTAGGTCCAATAATTTTAAAGCGGATTTTGTTCCCTTATAAGTTATAGGAACTGGGCCCTACACTACACGATCGCCGGACTCTACTACTGTCGCCCGACCATGTCCAAAAAAAGGCGATTCGTAGAGTCCTAGTTACTCGGGCTAGAAACGACCCAACAAAAACATCAGATTTCACCCTCAAAACGGCACAAAATTACTAGATTGTACAACCTGAGGTACGGTAAACTACAAGTACAGATTGGTAATTAAGATCTAAGTACTCGGTACTAAGGTTTACTTACAATCTGGATGAATAGTGAAATGTTATTGGCGAGGTCTCCGTCGCGAATAACGCGCGTCCAAAAAAATTGCAAATTTTTTTTTGACAGTCCCAGATTCGATTCATCTTCATGTCTTTTCAACAGTTTTGCAATGACTGACCTTCATTGAGCTGTTGAGATTATATGAATGAACAAAAGTGGCGTCAGGTTGCAACATTCTTCCCGAAATACCAATACCAAAAATATGATAGTTGATAATGATATATAAATCTTTGGAAAATACATGTAGACCAAGGCAAGACGTGTTCTTAAGAAAACATGTTCAAGGAGGCCGCCATTTTTTACTGATGGAAGATGATGGAACCCTTGGTGGCGCTATTGACAATGCGCGTACGCACTAGTACCATAGGACTAGTACGGAGTACATACGCAGTGTACGGAGATGCAGACGTACGTATCATCAAGTTGAAGTTGCTGTACCCGTGCTCTTCATCATATTCGACTTTTCTCCACAACGATGTTTCAATTTGTATTTTTCAGTGCATGGAAAAACTACGTCTTTTTATTATAGACGTTTCCAACCCTCTGAAAATATGTTTTTATATTGGGTGCTTTTTGAGCCCACAACGCACCAAAGATACGCGTGGGAACGGCACAGAATAATCAATAATTAAAGTTGGTGTATACCTGCTTTTTGGGCGTGGCACCTTTGAAAAATAGATTTTCAAATTGAATTTTTAATTTTCTAGCATTACACTAGTTATGAGCTTTCCAATGAGACATCGTACGAAAAAAAATCGTGCAATGACAAGTAATCAATTAATGAATTTCAACTTTTGAATTAAAAGCGGAACGCTCCTAATTCGTTCTGAATATAATAGTGTGCGCAATTTTTGAACTGGAGCCTGCCATTTAAAACCAATTTTTAAAACTGTATAAAGACCGTATAAAGACCCTTCAAAAACAAACAAGCAAATTTAGTTGCTACAGGACATTATATTCCTTTAAATTTCGTTCGGAAAAGAAAATCGAAATTTTCAAAAAGCACGTATATAGGCCTATACCAACTTTGAACGTGGGCGGATTTTTTGTTCGTCTCATTCAAATGTGAAAAACTTTTGGACGGCTTGATAAAAATAGCAATTTAAATACATCTGGGGGGTTTTCGCAGACGGAAACTCGAAAATAGCCCGGGAGATACAAAACTTTCAATTTTTGGGAGCCTGGGGGAATGCAACTGTTTTAATTGTTTCGGGAAATTGATGGTCGGAAATGTTGATATTATTCCTGTACATTTTGGAAATGTTTGAGAACTGTTACATTTCTAAGAACGTCTAGTCAACGTAACAAAGTTCTACAGGGTGAGTACAAAAAACGAAACCCAAATGTCGGGACTATTGTTTCAATGAAGCTCAGTGCATGTAGCACTTTCAAAATCTAGGGCATGAAAGCCCAATTCAAAAGCTTTCTCTTAGTACAAGGGTTATTCAAATCACTCATGTACTTTTCCAGTTACGGAATCTTAAACACAACCACCGTTTTAAAGTTCTGTCCACGGACCACAAGAAAAGGTGTGCGTTCTTTCAGCAAAACGAAACAATTCACACACATCCCTATGTGATTTGTTTTCGTTTTGCTGAAAGAACACTGAACTCTTGTACTAAAAGAAAGCTTTTGAATTGGGCTTTCATGTCCTAGATTTTGAAAGTGCTACATGCAGAACTTCAATAAAACAATAGTCCCGACATTTGGGTTTCGTTTTTTTTACTCACCCTGTATGGTGGTCGCATTGCGAAATGTTACCCCCAGCTCCCCCTCCCCCCTCGCCTCCCTTAAACTGAAGCGAATTAAATAAGCAGAACTTCGATAACATATCATGCTCCTTTTTGAAGTCAAAATTACCCCGATAAAGGTTTGTGTATTTACCGTTCTTTAATTCAAAAACAAAACACATCAAAGACTGTTAAACACACCGTTACAGCTGATTCTGCAATCTTGGCATGCAAGTCCAATCTACAGCTACCGAAATCATAAATCTAGGCCTAGTGGCATGCTTATATCAAACCAAATCAACTGCGTGTCTGTAGTCTACTGTGTACCAGACGACCTGCACGCTGCACCAAGCTGGTCGCAGGTGTCAAGAATGCAAGATGCGTGCTATAGAGGGTATACCTATCGGGTTGGGTGGGGTCTAAAGGTGCAGTTGTGCAGTGCTCGATTTCTCAGAATTTTGTATTGATAGTTGGTGTCTTTCTATAAGAACTTTCATCGTTTTTCTTATTTTCATTTCACTGTAGGTACCATTGCAAAATGTAAGAGTTATAGGCCTTTAGGCAAAAATATCCCTTTGTGAAAATGTATGGCCCTGTTACGTTAGGCCGGCCTATCATCACGAAATGTATGACAAAACTCCTACGTTTGGGAGTGTGCATGTATAGGCGACACAATGGGCGGTTTAATAGTTTTGGATGAGGCACAGCCTGCATGAACACATGTATTATGCAAGCGAAACTTATCTTGCAAACTTTATTTCTGTTTTGGTTAAAGTGATGATTTAAGTTACTTTTTTATGGTGCATGTATTGATTTTCCATGTTTTATGCTCACTTTAATGGTCAATAAATTTACTTTCAAAGGTGAGTGCTTTGAAATGAAGTGCAGGGAAAAAAGTGCGATATAAGTGAGTATAGTGTGCAGGACTACTGTGCATAGAGGGAAAAGACAAAAACCACGCCACGACTTTGTTTTTAAACAGCACATTTTGAAGTCACAATTTAGTGTGTGCAGAAGAGGTGAACGTGCTATATACAGATGGGGTGCGTGTGCCAGCCCTGGACACGGCCCATGCGTGCTGTGCTATAGTGATGTACACGGCAAAAGGTGGTGTGTAGAGCAGTCAGAGTGTGGGGCGGAGAGGGGAGTCTGGAAATGTATTACCGTTACTAGTCTCCGCAGGAGCGTAATGGTATCCCGTACCTTGTGGGCACATTGCACGATACTCAGCTGTAAAAAGAAGAAGAAACATTGGTAATGTTGGTGTTTGTTTAATGGAGAAGATAAATCATGACTAACAACTGTCAAAACTGAAACAGATGCCTTCGACTATAAAACCTACAATTTGTATCTGAACTACATTAGAAGGGACTGAAGGCTACCGTTTCAAGTTTTCAAGTCCGATTTCAAGTCCGATTTTAAGATATTATGACTTCTCGTTGAATGTTTAATATTAGTTTCTGCTCAGTGAGATACCAAACTGTGGCATGCATTCTAGGCCCAACTCCCAATTACATTTTAAACAATCTATTAAAGTGATTTTAATGATAAACGACAGTCAACGATGAATTACGTGATGATTTAATGCTGAGAATTTCCATGCCCATCTCCATAGTTACGGTGCCCTAAAACTCCTCACCTGTTTCTCTGGCTGGGCATAGCTCGCATGCTGTCGTGCCCCAGGCCACACCCACGCCGCAGCAGCACTGCATCCTGGTGGTCAGCTGTCCCGAGGCGCTGGACCCCAGGCATCGGCCGTCGTATACCCGCCGGAAGCACGTCCGCCTCGCGTCCACTGAGTGCCGTAGAGAGTTTACAAAACGAAATCGGTTACTTTCAGAGTTGCACTTCAATCTTCATAGTAAATCTCAAGTTAATTCTACAGTTTCAAGTCATGCGAGAATCTATTTAAATGCATTCCTTAATCATTGTTTATATCTTTCGTAACTTGATTCATGCTTGATTTAACTTGTGCTCACAGACTTGACTACACAATTCTGGTTATTTAAAAAAAAAAAACAGGCTAAAGCATTCGGGCCCATATACCCAGAACTTTGGCCGTTCTTTACCACCCTAAATCAGTGCATTAATTATCAGTGGTACACGCGGAGAAGTTTGAGCATGGGCGTCATGAGGGGGGCGCTTGCCAACCCCCCCCCCCCCCCGGAAAACGAAAAAAACGAAAAAAGAGGGGGGGGGGAGGAAAAAGAGGTGCGAAGCCATATTGCTGTTAATTTGATGGGGGGGGGGGCAATGCTCCCCTGCTCACGCTCGGAAAAATGATAAATTGAGAATATAGTGAAAAAGTTTAGGAATTGGGCAAAAATTTGCTTTGTCCCATCATGGAAAAATCCTGGCGACGCCCATGGGTTTGAGCCCCCTCCCCAAGGCCAAAGAAAGAGCTCCTTCCCCAAGGCCCACGCTATTCATACCACAGCCGGTCGAAAAAACTACTGTTGTCATAAGCTAATCTGGTGACAAATTTTGGGTTTGTCACTATACAATCTGTGTGCTTGGACCATGCTTGGACTTCCATACACTATAAAAATCTCATATTTCAATTAAATAATGCGATTATTAATGTTGAAGGGACATGGTAATCATATTCTACAAATGATCGAAAACTCTTCCAAACTGTCTAAAAAATAATGCAGACCTCAAAACGTGAAGTCCCGGCCCAAATCTGTTCTACAACCCCGCCCTAAAGGAATTTTCCGTCAACAAATGCAGCCGATACTAACTTGTGCACATTGTCCCGGTTGGGTCCAGTGAATAGCCAGTTTTACAGTAACATCGGTAGCTTCCTCGCGTGTTGATGCAGTGGCCATTCATGCAGATATCGTGGAAAGCAGAACACTCGTTGACATCTGGGCAAGGAAACAAAAATTTGCGGAGATCAACGAATCGGTACACCAAAATGAAGCTGGTCAGTTTGTGAAGAAAAGACAATCTTAACGCTCACTGAAGATTTTGTTCTTCTGCGTTTTATTACAGACATGACCAAAAAAAGGGAGTAAAGGCGAACATCGAGCAACTTACAAAATGTCACCGCTATCTACTTCTATTTCAAAACTCGGAGCAAGATTGTGAGGTCCTTGACGATAGCTATAATATCCAAGTTTATGTTTCTTTAAAACTAATGTGTGATTAATTCGATTTTTTTTATGAGAATAGATTCTTACCCATGCACCTTGTCTCCGACCCCGGAACTTTCTTTAAACCTCGTTGGCAGTGTGTTTCGCGTCCTGAAATGTAAGAATACAAGGATGAAATCAATACAAATAAAATGTACTCTTTCTTACATGCTTCAATGGAACTGGCTGCGCGCCGCAGCGATGCAGACGTTATCCGCAGCAATCCGCAGCAACGTGAAAGATAGAGGCAATCCGCAGCAATGCGGAAGATAGAGGCAATCCGCAGAAATGCGGAAGAAAGAGGCAATCCGCAGTAATGCGGAAGAAGCAATCCGCAGCAATGCGGAAGCAGCAATGCGGAAGGAACAATCCGCAGCAATGCAGAAGAAACAGTCCGCAGCAATGCCGCAGAACAAGAGTAACCAGAGTCAACGGAGATCAATTGAGAAAACACCTCTAGTGCTTGAACCACATCTCCTTTTTAGAGTAAAATCGCACGTATCCGCGAACTTTTCCCAGAACTCTACACCACGCAATGCCTGAAATCGCTGCCAACTCCTCCACCAACTAAAAAGTTAGTGACACACTAATTACTCGTTTCAGACTTAGTATTGAACCAAAAACCTCACACACACAAAATCACTGTTTTCTTTTTCTAAATGAGTACAGTCTATACCTAACTCTTTATTTTGTGATGAGTCTTTTGGCCAATATATCTGCCTCCTCTCATGAATAACGAGCTCGAGTAGTTGGCCATTTCTTGCCCTGTGGACCAACGGACACTCGTACCGGTAACTGTACAAACTCAAGGGACTCCTCGTCGTATCTGATTGCACACTGATTCTTCCTCTACATGCATGATATCACTTATCGGTGCTCTCCAGCCGAGTCTGTTTCTAATTACACGGTGATGGTCCGGCTCTGATACACTTATTTTCTTAATCGTCGTCTCGGGTCTAGACATAAATTGCTTCCTCCATGCCTCTGCAGTTCTATTTAGAGGCTGTCCTCATATTGCACTTTCGCATACCAGCTGACTTCCACTTTAGAAAACCCGAAAGACCGTTACCGTATCCAATCCATTCCGGACAGATATGGCCCATGCAATGTACATTTTTAAATGCAATCCTTGAAAATGCACCTTTGTGTTCCATTTAACCTAATTTACAATTTTCGTTTTGCAAGTTTCAAGGGTATTTTGGTGCCTTTTAGAATTTTATGCTAACGCAGATGTCCATATTGAAGTTTTGGTTCTCACATATCAATGTATCCATGGTATAGCCCCTGTTTATCGTCAAAGTTTAGTTCAGGAGTACAAACCAGCTAGAAATCTGCGTTCTTCCCATAAATCTCTGTTGTCACCCCCAGTCATTAAAACTAAGTCTTATGGTTCCCGCTCCTTCCAATCAGCTGCAGTTCAGCTATGGAACAACTTACCAGATATTGTCAAACAGGCCGAAACATCAGAACAATTCAAAACCCGGGTCAAAACATATATCTGTTCAATTTGTATAATTGTTGATTTCATGAGAGCGGTGATATGCGCTATATAAGAATGGTTTTCATTATCATTTGTTTCATTATTATTGATGAGCAAATGTGTGATGTCGTTTCAGTCAGAAACCTCTCAATGATACAGTTATTTCAGCACCACAAGTTGCCAGAATTTTGGATATTTTGCTGTTGTAAATTTTCTTTTCTTTGGTTATTCGTTGTTTCAGTACATGGCAGTAAGCCAGGGAGCAAACTTTTCTCACAGATGTTTTCAATGAGCAAAATTTGGGTTCACAACTTGAACACCAAACCCCTAAACTGAACAGTGTGTTCCTGAAATGACATAACAGCAACAGCGCCCTCAGTTATCCAGAAAAGCGTGGAAAATGTTGCATGTTTAAAGAAGTGCACTTTTCAATACAAGTAACCCAAAAGGTATGTCATATAGTTTTCATATATTTAAGAGGAGAAAGTTGCCCACATAATTCCCAAGACAAATTCATTGCATGAACCCTTTAAAAGCGAGCGAGAATTGTTCGGAAACAAGATTGAGGATTACTCGTTAGGCCTTGAGTTCCGTTTTATTGATACATATTTTCCTGCGCTATTACCTCAGGGACAAACTAAATAATGATGGCAAGCTCATAAATGTTTCAAATTTACGACGCCAATCATATCGAAATATGACAGATATATTATCTGTCCAGCTTGGCAGATCAAGCAACTCGACTTCAGGGACAGCGAGTCGCTGGATATTGCGCCCATGAGAAGGATTACACTCCGAGCCTCATATCCGCTAGCGGAATATACAGCGCGTCCAAAAGTGTCCGCAACATTTTTTTGCGAGGCTCTAGCGGCGCCGCAGAAACACGCACCGCCATTATTTTATATCATTTTAAAGCTTGGAATCTTAACTTTATCCCTGCTAAGTATTTGATTGATTTTCAAAAGGGTTTTGAGATTATTCGTGTTAAAATAAAGGCATGTCAAAAACAAACTCAACCGATTTCAAGGAAAATCAATCATGCGCATTTTTTCTAATATGGAAATGGCTCATCATGTTTACGATGTGACGATCTCGTTGCCTTTTACTTTCTGTGCTTTCCTATTCTTCTCGGTCCACGTAGACTACACCTTAAATAAAATCACAATATTGCTCTTCGTTTTTGTTATTCTGCATCTCTTTTGAAATTCACGTGCAAGTATGTACCTTTTCAAAAAGCGCGCTCAAAGTGTGACTCGAGTTTGCATCTGATGTACCGCATCATCGATTTTCCTTGAAATCGGTTGAGTTTGTTTTCGACATGCCTTTATTTGAACACAAATAATTTCTAAACTCTTTTAAATATCAAACCAACACACACCACGAATAAAGTTAAGATTCCAAGCATGCATTAAAATGGTATAAAATAATGGCGGTAAGGTGTTTCCGCGCCGACGCCAGAGTCTCGCAAAAACAAAGTTGCGGGTATTCTGGGACGCGCTGTAGAATTCAGAATTGTCAAATTTTTGTTTAATTTGAACAATTTTGTTTGTAACAACAGTCCAGACCTCATCTGTATTCGCCCTCAAGTTTGGTTCATTATCAAGCACGAATTAATGCTTTCGATTCCTGTATAAGTGTGCTGAAAAATAAGATAATGCTAACATACTTATCTCAATGCAGATTTCATAATCACGGAAACGCGGCTTAAAACCTCAAGTTTAATGGGCTTGTCACATTAGGGCAGTGATACTTTCTGCAACATTCTCCTGACGCATGAACCAAGTGGATTGAGTTTTCCGTAAAACTAAACCCAAGGGCTTTCTTTTTTCTCCAGACCGATTCTAAGAAAGCTCCCTAAAACATCATTCTCTTGGTTTTTTTTTTTTCATTTAGGAAACCGTTTTAGAATCATCAGTTTGGCGAACATTTTCTTGAGTTCTAAACTCATCACAGTAATAAAATTATAAATCGTACGTGTACGTACTGTCAGTCTTAATGGCATGCACTCCCAGTTCATTATGGTGGCCCTTTATTATGTTCATAACAAGACATTTGACTGTAATTGCTTCATTCCACCTAGAAGCAAATGACATTTTGACCTTTTGAGGAAACTTGGCAAGCTTTTCTAGGCAAGACTTTCCCTTGCTTGGCGGCTCCAGCAAGCTTACAAACTGTCTTCAACGGAAAGAGGAATCGGAGGTCTGGTTCCTTTGTTGCGCATCTCTGCACATTCACCCTAGACCGGCGGCTGGCATTTCCTGCGTTATTTTGAGCCTGCATGTCGGCATTTTCAGGCAACTTCCGTCTGGGCGTGACAGGTTCTTCAGCTCTCGTACGAGTCACAACTAATCTCAAAATGTCACTGAGAAGTCTTTACGATTAGTCTCCCCATCTTATGTTTTCTAATTCCGAAATTTCATCCAGTGGAGACACCTAAACTACGATTTGTTTAACAGGGGTTGCGGAGCGAGGAATTCCCTGTAAAGACATCCAGTGCATCAATGCGAACTTTTCAAGAAAGCGGCGTTTTACTTAAATGGAGAGGCACGTGCTCCAGAACATTTTTTGAAAGGAAAAACAATTAATGATAAGTATAAAAACTGGTTTGACATTAGGTTAATGTAGTAATATAATGTAGTTTTAATTCACAGGACAGTGAACTAAGTTAATTTCAGGAAACAAGGTATCTAAACGCGTCAGTACGAAATCAGGTTTGATTTCAAACTTCTACAAACTTGAATAATGCACCGAAAGGGTCTATAATATTTCTCAGGCTGGATTTTGAAGACTTGCCACCCGTTACACTTAGCTACATGAACATGGAAATGTCAACTCCTGTGCCTATAGACCATTATCATGTTGCGGCCATCTTGATTTTTTTCCCATTCAAATCAACGTAACCAAAGCGAGGCTGGAAGGAAAAATAGTCTGGTTCCTTATTGCACAAAACACATTATCATTCAGTACTGTTATTGGATACAGGGAACATGACTGAAATTGTGGCAGCATGATAAAGGTCTATAGCCTTTTTCCTGTCAGTTGGCAGACTACCAAGGAATAACAGCATTCCAGTGCGGAAACCACTAGATCCTATGTACCTTTAAGTGCAGAGCCACACAAGCACAAAATGCATACGAGCAAAAAGGAATTCAGTTTTGCGCGGGAATGTCGACTTTATTTATACTCCTATTCATATCAAACTTTTTACCAAGCGCTAATGGTTTTACAAGCAAAACTCACCTAACTGTTGAGGACATATGTGGCAGGTGTTACCCCACGCCTCACCCAGCGTAGCACAGCAGTCATCGTGAAGGGTGGAGTCGTCGCTAAGAGGGGCCAGGCACTGGTTGTTGCTCACCCGTCTGAAACACGGTCCTCGCATGGTGTATCGCGCTAATTGTGAACCCCCTGATAAAAAAAAAGAATAACCCAATAAATTCAGGAATTCATGTTGCAGAGCATGTATACAATATTTCTACAGAGTGTAACGGGTGAAAATCTCTTTCATTTTAAATAGAAAAAGAATTACTCCCTTGGAAACTCGAGTGAAAACTCGATCTATTCGATCAGAATGAATGTCCCTGTTTCAGTCGGATTTTTGAATAAGACAGTTTTAAGTTACATTTCGCCTCAAATGAAAGCTTCTTTGGATAACAAAATACATATTCACTGGACGTGCAATATGTCATACCTATAGTCTTTTTTTTCATTCGGTTTAAATTAATGATCGACCATAATAGAGACCGTAAGGGGCTTAACTTATATCAGAACACCACGTACCACAAAACGGGAAATCGGGTCAATAGTTTTCTGGCTCTCAATTTCTGTTTATCAGTCAACTCAGTTTCTGAAACTGAAATCACTAAACTGCAAAATACATCCCATTTGTTATGTATCCTAAGAATTCGTATTAAAAAGACCGTCAAATGCGGAATAGAGAAATGCCTTTGCTTGTCATTCCTTGTCCTTATTTGAATGAAGAGACCCGAGAAATTCCTGAGAAGTAGTTTGGTCCCCCACAGGTGCCATACCAAGACCCCAATGATAAGCTTCCTCCCTTCTCGCATTGCCTCCTCAAGGATGAAACTGCACGCCAAGGAATAATTTCCCGGCCACAAAAATTGGGGGAAAAAAGACGGGAATCTTTATCGAACAACTGTGCCTCGGGTATATTGAAGGATAACAAACTCAAGACAGCGAGATTGCACCCAATTCCGTCGGGGACTGATCAAGGCGATATACGTCGGAGACGCGTGCGTGATGCCATGCCAGTTTCATGAAGGAAAAACATACTTGTTTTGGCAAATCACCTTTAGGGAACTGTTTGGTAGAAAACAGATATTTCTGACTCGCAAAACTGTTTGAACACTGGAAAGGGGGTGAGGGTCACCGATCGACAGACGACTAAACAACAACTGGTAAAATGTCACGCGATTATAACTAAGGGCATAATTTCAATGCATAACTTCTGCCATTTCTTTCCGACCAGACTCGTCGATTTTTGTCAAAAGGTTTTACAATCCAACAACTACCAGTGGTGGATCTACGGGGAAGGGAACGGTAGGGGCCATAACCTCCCCCTTGCATAGCCCGAAAAAAATAATCAGAAAATCAGGCAAAAAAGGGCTATCCCCTCTTGACAGCTGAACCCCCTCCTTTAGAGCCAAACCTGGGTCCGCCCCTACCAACAGACATGAACTGGCTCTTTAGTCTGATCGTGCACGCGATGGTATAAAAAATAATGAGAGTTTGTGAGTGCAATGGTGAGAATAATTTCATGAAGCGACAGATGGTATGTTCAATTCGACGAGGCGAAGCCGAATGGAATGGAACATTCCATCTGTCACCGAATGAAATTCTTCTTTCCATAGCACGAATGTGAAATATTTATTATTTGTTTTATACAACACCTGAATAAATCCTCGTCATCTGATTGGTCAGAGCCGCCAAAAGCGCGACAGTGCAAAGGAACTTCCATTTACCGTTGAATGGAACTTCTATTTTGGCGTGCTGCCGCGCTGTGCGTTGGGACGAATAATTTAAAAACATGTGATCAACAACCCACCAATCAGATGACGGGGATTTATTCAGGCGTTGTATTAAAATGATATAATTACTATCATGTTATATTAAAACTTATGCGGTGTACATGTACATGTAGTGCACAAAAATACACTTAATTTGATGAACAATCAGGCCTAAACTGAAGTTCAATGACCCGAGGTCATCAAATCCAGGGGGACCCTATTGTCCTTCAGAACAACCCTTGCATGTCGCACTACCTCAAAGCTTGCCAAATACGTTGACAGATTATGGCTATGACTCAGGTTCACTAGAGGGTGACTTCCAACAACGATTTGCGAAAGTGGTCGCGAAGAGTTGGCGAGTAGCTACGAAGAAATTGGCGAGTAGTTCGACTTTGATGACCAGTAATGTTACATCAACTAAACTTGCCTTAACTTTTAACGAATTAGGCAATTTTGAAATGTTCTGCCTTTAAGGTTACCATGCATTATATCCAATTGGATGCTCTTAAAGGTATAGCCGCTATAAACAGTTTTACCTTAAAATTATACGTGCTTTTGGGTATGGCACCTTGAAAAAAAATCTAAATTGAATTGATAATGTTCTAGCATTACATAAGTTATGAGCTTTCCAATGAGACATCGCACGAACAAATCGGCCCATGACAAGTAATCAATTAATTGAATTTAAACTTTTGAATTAAGAGCGCGTGGGACGCTCCTCATTCGTTCTGAATAGTGTGCAATTTCTAAACTGGAACGCGCCATTTAAAACCACTTTTTTAACTGTATAAAGGCCTGCAAAAGCAAACACGCACATTTATTTGTTAAAGGACATTATATTCCATTACATTTCGTTCGGAAAAGAAAATCAAAATTTTGATAAAGCACGTATATACCAACTTTAAATGTGTTATAACAAATAAAATAAAGGATAATTTATTATCAAAGTTCTCAAAATAGAGACCCAAATTCCACCAATACATGTAGCTCGACCCGTGCTCATTAAGAATGGAATTTAATTGAAGACTTTGTTGTAAGATTTAAAACTGAGATATTTTGTCCCAAAAAAAATCGGCGCATGCATGCTTCGCATATTCCCATTCCCTTTCCTATGAATTGCCCAAGGTATGCTAACATAGTTACTTAAGCCGCGTTAAATGTTTATAAACAAAAACAAAACAGCATTGCTGACGGCAGAAATTGTAACCTTGTCAGAGAATGGAGAGCAGCCTTCAATTTCCCTTCATTCCATTTCAAGACGCCTCCAAGAAAGCAATTTGTCAAACTAGCTGCCGCTGATGATTGCCAGGACGAAAGTTGTTTTTATAGGCGAGATGAGATTAGCCTGTCACGGTGGTGACGATATGACTCGTTCCAGCGTGCGAACACCTGAACGTTAGGCGGTCCCTCCGCGTCGCTGACCGGTGTAGCCTGGGGACATTGTAGACGGCGGACTGTTGTGACTGCAAAGGAGGGAATTCCGGAGATGCACGCAATTTCTTGCATCTGGCCGAGGTCCAGCTTCTCCAGGAATCCCATAATCTACAGGCGCGAAGCTGCGAGGTGAGGCTCATAAAATAAAGTGTACAGCGACCCAAATCAAGCAAACCTCCTAGCAGTTTTTTTAGTACCAAAAATGTCTACCTTATCCAGGCGTGAAATCGGAATACTTGAAGAAACACCCACGAGCCATATAATGTATCTGTAGCTTATCTGAAATCTTAAATCTAGTAGGGGGACAAGAAAATCTCCCCCAAAAATATCATCAACAAACTCGCCGCCAGAAACGAATAATACATTGGTAAACCTAACTGGCTTGGGGAATTCGTAGCCTTTCGGGCTCAGCGGATAAGTGAATGAATTTGGAGAGAGCCTGGAGTTATTTTGGAACTGATAAATATTGATAATTTATTTATTCGCCAGTACGAAACGTTAGTACAATTTTTGTGCATTGAAAACTGCAATGCCTGCACGTCCTATCCGACAAATATTTCTAAAAAAGGAGCCCTCTAAACGGAAACAGTCTCAGATTTGTTCAAAGCAAATCTCGTCATAATCGGTTGATATTCTGACTTGCACTTGTTATAGCACCGGTAGGTCCCACCACATGCTGACTAATTCGTCCAGTGTCGATATGAAGTTTGTACTTAGATGAAAGGGCAAGCCAGGTCAGTGACCCCGTGTCTGAAGTCAGCGAGTATAGTCGAGTCAGGCGCAAGACATTTTAAATTAATCGCAAGTCATCCGTTATCAAGTCAAGTCACAAGCTATTCAAGTGAGCTTGGACAAAGTTATTCCTTTTGTCATGTCCGTGCCTTAACAGACCTCATGTAGATCGGCCATTTAGAGAGCATCTTTTGTTAGTTTAATGCAGTAACAATGAATGCACAAACGGGTCTCTCGTGCGTATCCCAGCAAAACAAAGGCATTGCCCTCTAAGATAGCTGCTACGCATAAAGTCTATTGACACCTGTCTAGTAACTGAAATTTTGATTGACTTTTTATTTCAGGTCTGGTTTTTGACTCGATTACAACTTCACTCCTTTAAAGCAATAAAATTCACATCAGGTCTTTGACCTCACGTTGAAGGTTAGTGTGTTTACTTCTTTCTCTCCACTAAAATTTCCAATAACTTCCCTTACTTGTCGGCAATGATTTGAGACGGTTCAGCGGACAAATAATGTGAATTTTTGTCGCAATAGATAATACAGCAGTGCCTGTGCCCCACTGTTGCAATCCAAGACAACCCTATTGTCCCAAGGTTCGTTTGACCGAAGATTCGATAATCCGGAGGTTCATTTATCCGAAGGTTCAGTAGTCCCGTAATTTAGAATAAGGTTAATTAGTCTGAAGGTTCAATAGTCCGAAACGAAAACAAAGGTCAATAGTCCGAAGGTTCATTATTTCGAAAGCACACAAGGTCCGATAGTCCGAATTGGCAATAATGTTCAATGCTGTCAATTCGGACTATCGAACCTTATCGTCTATTCGGACTATCGAGCCTTCGATTATCGAACTTTCGGACCATTGAACCTTCGAACGAACGAACTTTCGGACCAATGACCCTTCGGACGCTATCATGGGAAGCGCTTGTGGGGTAGGTGCATTGTTGTCCTTTTAACCATTTTTCTATAAATTTCACTTGTGGGATACCTCTCTCAATGAACGAGTACCGCACAAGGGGTCCTTGGTCAGCACGGACTAACAAATCTTCGGACTATCGCATCAAATGTTCGGATCAACGAACCTTATTTCATTTTCGGACTACATGTATTGAACCCCCGGGTAGGGGAAATTTGTGCGTTCGGACTATCGAACCTTCGGATCAATAAACCTTCGGACTATCGGGCGGACCCAGTTGCAACCAAGGGGTCTCAGTTGTGCAACCATAAACAGCTAACATATAACTTTGGCAAGGAAAGCAGTCGGTCCTACCACTGAAAATGTATATACATGTACATGTGCCATGTATTGCAATCAAGTGAATAAAAAGTTAAATCATATGTCATGTAACAAACAACAGGTGATGAACAATGACAAAGGAATGCTTAGCCTTTGCCTCCGTTCACGAATGGCTGTCACTACAACTGAGACACGCACAACTTGTGATAGACTCTATCACAAGTCTTTTGCATACACCCACCGGACGTTGGTCGGCCGAAGTTGATGGTAGAGGACGCCCTCACGATCGAGCTGACGACCTGCCCGCTGTTGACGCTGCCGGAGAAGCGGCCACTGCTTCCCGTGGAGGATGCAGGGCGGTAGCGAGTAGTGGTGGAGGCGCTCACCACGCGCGACTGGCAGTAGTAGCCACGGAAGTTGGGCTTACACTGGCACACGTTGGGTCTGATGCACAAGCCACCGTTCAGACAATTACATAGAGCTGAAGATGGTCAAACGAAAGAAAAAAACCTTTAAAATCACATTGGTCAAAAGTTGTGCTCGTAGCATGGGCTTTATTCACGAGTCGGCCATATTAAATGGAAGCCAGGTAAAATCTTCATTTTTGGAACTAGCAAAGAGAAATGAAAGCAATGACATAAAGTTAATTACAAATTTATAACCAGTCTGCTCTCGGACTGATGAATAATTTAAAAAAATTGTGATTAAACACACCCTAATGTTTTAAGCCACATTTAAAACAGAAAATTGAAACTGAGGCTAGAATGCATAAATAGTCTGGCACCATCCAATTCAACAGTTCACAATTTATAAAATGCATTCAGGGAACACGACCAAAATGGCTTCTCGTGAATAAGGTATATAGAGAAGGGCGTTGGTAACAGCTGCGGACTGCGGTTCCTTACCGGAAATCTCTGTGTGTACCTTATAACCAAAATGTTCACAAAAATGTTCGCAATTTGTATAAGAGGCTCAAAAGTTACTAACTAAAAACATTTTAATGGTAATATAGCAGAACATATTGCGCGGGAAAATGTTAAATGAATGAATGAAGAAGACTTGTAAACCGCTATAGTATCCGCCACACAACAGATGGGAGCTCATGGCACTTGCCATAATGTCCAACCCCAACCGGAAATTATATGCAGCGCGTTGTAAAATCAGAAATAAGCTCACAATTTATGTTGACGTTGCCTCTGAGAGACTTTCACAATATAAAGATCATTGTATTCCATCAGAACTAGTAAGGTTTGTTGGTTGTACAAATGCACCACAATGCCAAGTAATTATTCTGTCTACAACTTGTTGAGGATTGGGCTTCGAATACAATAATGTACAAGTTTAATAACTTGACAGAGATGGGACAAATTAGAACTTACGACGACTGCATTGGCCGGTATTAGCGTCCAGGCTCCACCCTGTACAGCAGGCCCTGCCGCATACGTTTGGCCTGAAAAGATAAAAACATAATAATTTAACAAAAATTGTGTTGGAAATTGGAGACATTTACCAGACGAATCAATAGTTCTTGCTTTGGAATGCGAACCCTGTGCGTCAATCAACGCGACTGAGTTTTGACGTCTGTGTGTAACTCCAACGCTCTGCGTGACTTTCAAAACACATTATCTGCAGGATACGAGAAGGCAGTGCAAATCCAGGGGTCATGGCAACCACAGGGACGGGTTGGAACCCTTTTAATCCTTGTCTTTCAGCCAAGATGAGACGGTACGGGTCCTTTGAGACTGGCGCTTGGCATACTAATTCACATGAAATGTCTACCGGTATTACCTTGACATGTATAAACTCTTCAATGTTGGGTTTTGCCCTTCACCGACGTATAAACACAGTGTTTACCCCACCGCTGTAGCTCGGTGGTCGAGTGGTAAGACGTCCGCACTAGAAAGCAGGAGGTCGTGGGTTCGAGTCCCACCCAAGTGATATTTTTTTCTCACTTTTACTCGGGGGGGGGGTAACACACTGAGTATACAGTGTTTATACGCAGGTGAAGGGCAAAACCCAATATTGAAGCGTATATTAGCTCGTTACACAAAATACTACTTAATTCTCATTTTCAAAAAAAATGTTTTCGAATATCGTCAAGTAGCAATATAGCCGGGTTTTTTTAATAAACAATTTATAAAGCTAATCGACCTAGCCATCTGAAAATTTCAAAGATTCATCTCTTTTGGTAGTAAGTAAAAAATAGATGAAAAATCAGGAGAACCGATGTTTATGGGACTGCAATCAATAGATCTACTGCTGTAATATTTTCATAAAACACCCTGGATCACATATTTCAGGAACACATATCGTATCGCGTGTTTGAAGTTAAGGTTCAAGCAGAAAAAAATATTAATTTCTAATTTCCAACCGCCTCATAACCAGTTCCGTTGGGAGGGTTTACTCCTGTTATTTCTCAAACCTGGGTCAGCTTTCAGAGCCAGCCGGTGGCGGTTCGGCGCGATCACCAGTTCACGCAATCCTCATAATACGTTACCAGAAACCCGATGAAAAGACGGTGAGTACCAGGGGAAATTGCAGAGTCGACAACGGGAAACCAGCTTTGCTGCCGTGATGACAGATGGGCGGAATACCAGTGTCTACTGTATATCACCCGTAGCCCCCCAATTTTCATTCCGATTAAGATACATGTAACGGCTGTAATATGAGCATGCCAAGTTCATGGTTGGTTTCAAAAAGTGCCTGCAACAAACCAACAATCACCTATGGAATTTTGGTAAAGAATGATTACTACCTTAGGCGATCATTAGCCCTTACATCCCGTTTTCCGTTTAGATAATCAAATATAGCTGTTGCGACCTTTTCTTTTGGGAGCCTGTGACCTTTTTACTTGATCCAAATAACGAGTATACATCCACATGTAGCAAAGACGTTGTTTGCTGAAAAGAGCAAGGTGTATACAATTTGTATGATCATATTCAACAAGTGTATAGTGCAAATATCAATCATTAACCGTAATTAATAAGTAATCATCAGCCATAAATTGGTGGAAAATATATCAACCATATTAATCAGATCTTTTATATGATCATGCCTTTTCTTTTACATTGGATTCAAAGTATGTGCCTTAGTTTCTCCACTTCTTACACTGACAAGTTTATACTGACTTCTCCACAAAGTGTACAACTACAGTATATGTGTTGCATTTTGTAGTGTACAAAACCGGCGAAAATCAGCAATAAACTGATGTTAAAGAATGGGCCTATACAAACGAGCAAGTTCCAATTGCATAATCAACCAGTCACCTAGTTGGAAAGTACAGTCTGACATCAGACGACATGAACAAGTGATGACAACGCCCGCTTTCAAAATTGAAACACTGAAAAACGAAGAGAGATTTTTATATCAGTATAATCAGTTCAACCTGTAACTATGATGGAGATAGGCCACCTTCCTCGTTCCTAGAACGTGTGTCATTAAACAAAGGACTGGCACAAAGACTGATGCAGCCTTAACGTGCACTGGCAGGCTCAAGAATGCTGGTGAAAAGGACCAAATGACTCTCTAGTACGGGGAAATGATCCGAGCTGTTTGCTGCCACCGAGAGTCTCCAGAGCCACTCAACCAATCAAGCGTTTGTATCAAACAATTACGTCATGAACCATTTAATATACAAGTCCAGACGGACCAGTCAGAATGATTTAACAGCACCATAAATACCTTCTTCGCAAGGTCTGCAAAAGACCAAACAGCCTATAACCGAATGAATCATGGCCCATGGGCGATAAAAACGCATTGGCAGACAGTTCGTTAATGTTAAACTTAAATATATATATTTCTTAAGTTTGAAAAAGAGCGGAGCTTGTTAAAGACGGTTCAGGTTTGAAGAGATTCAAACCACGACAAACTCACACAGGTTTTTTTTGGGGGGTGTAAATCGAGGATATTCTATTGTTCCTCTTCCCTTTTCCTTTGTTTATACTCTTAATTTTTTTGCAAAAGCTCTCATTGGTTTAGTACACGTTTTCTAATCGAGGTTGTCTTCGATTTGGTTCCTGTCCCCAATTCATCGATGATGTTGCACGTGTGTGTCCTCGATTTATACCATAAACACGGACTATAATTTCAGGATAGAAGGTTCATATCTCTGTAGCCTATGGTGCATAATGTTTGGCTCGCGGCCGTACCCCAAATATTACACTGACATGCAGGATGCCTTTCGTAGAATCACATTCCCTATTGGGAGTTATATTTTTCAGACAGGCACAGCTGTCATTCCCGTTTGAATTTAACAAACGTCTGGTTTTGTCTCCTGCTGGTGACTCATTATGTCTTTTGTCAATTTTTTTCACTCTATCTCGACACAGACGAACCTGTTATAAATAGATTTTTCAAATGAAGAATGAGTCACACTTTTGCCGTGCCAGCATACACTTGGCCGTCTGCAGCCAATGAAAAGAGAAACCAGCAAAAGATGAAGCGACTGACCGTGCTACCGGGCGACGGATGGGGAACGCCCAGACGCGGCGCGGGCGTTCGGCCTAGAGAAGAATGGCCATTTGTCTCTGCTAACAACTTTCACCAAACAAGTTAAAATATGCATTTGATTTCCTGAATTTTCCAAAATCTCAAACTGATGTTGAATCAATGGTAAGGGGAAATAGGGGCTTATTTTGGCGATGTTGGGCGGGGGAAACTTCCTTTACAAGTCATAATTATTCACATTTCTCAGTACCGACATTTAAACGCTGAGTTGAAGGCAAGTTATCCTGCAGGTCGAAAGCTATCCAAATAAACAGTGACAACGGCATTCTTTTGTCATCGTCAACTCCTTTTACTTTTCACATAGCTGGGATTTGACATCTGATTGACTTGAAAACTGTACCAGGTGGGTTGGGATAGGTACCAGTTCATATCAGACCTAGTACAACTCCCGCCAATGGATTCGTCACGTCATCGACTTCCTGAGTGGCAAATTGCGCGTGTCTCCAAGATCACCTCTCTCGCCCCACCGTCTGGTTTCAGTCTCCCTCAGACACACTTTCTCCCTGTCGGTACGTGACTTGGCATCTCCCATACGTAACACAAATCATGATGGACAAGGCGGCACAAAAAGTTTGAGAAGAAAAAAAGTGTTTACCATTCGGTTTCGTATGTTATAAAAAAGTAGGATATTTAAACAGGGTCTGCATGTGATACATATTTTATGTAACGGAAACAGCGATAAACACAGCGCTCGCATAAATCAACGATAGATGGGAAATACACGAAGGGAATTGACACCTGTTGTACATGTTTTCACATTAACAACTTTTTCTTTCGAAAAGGTCTTATGGCAATATGTATTTGACGGGGACGAAGCTGACGAAGGGTGTGCATGACAATCAAATATTGGGAAACAAAATAATCAGAAAATATTGAGCACCGACTTGACGGTTTGCGGCATAAAGGTTTTGTGCTACGCCGTTTGTAAGCGCTCCGTGCGTTGCTATTCAGAACTGATTGGGTCCCAGTTCTCCAACGAACGGATGCTCCACTAGTAAAGTATAAGTTATCACCCATGATAAAATATCACGTTTTATATTAACTGTATTATCTTGTTCGGGTTGTCCTTCAAGGAACAGAAACACTTTCCTGGTAATGAGCCACATCTATGGAATGGCTAATTTAACCACAATGCCCTCATGGGTGGACTCTGGGCTGGACCGGAAGCAGCCCATGGACTTACTAGGAAAACCACTAGGAAAACTTACTAGAAAAACCACTTGTTCATTTAATTTGCCTACCCCCACACCCAAGTGGACCAAACACTTTCAATCCTGTATAATTCATATTCAAAAGTTAGTGAGCAATTCCTAATAAGGCAAGAAGAGCTGTAAGATATATGGCTGCAAGATTGGAATGTCCATTAACTGTATAGCCTTTGCTGCAGTATAGAATCTAGAAAACAGACAAAGAGCATCGCCGTCAACCGAATAAACCTCATCAGCTCAAGTATAACTTCGTTTCTCACGTCTTCCTTTGTCAATATAACCTGCCGGGTATTACATTATGTGTATAATGTTGTAATTGGGAGAGAGTCAATGTTAAATCGGCACAACCACGGTCTGTTTTCCAATACAGAAAAGTGCGCAAGATTTAGACAATAGGATTTATTTCTCAGCTGCTTCAAGATCAGATATATAGCTTCCTGCAGCTTCCACTTTCTCGACAGTATCATACCAAATTAAATTAACACCGCTGATGTAAAATCATAATCGATTCCATTCCGAGAAATAAGGTAAGAAGAATGATGTCGCTACGGAATGATTACGTAATAAACTTTCTCAGAACTTGTGCGTGGGAGATCCACAACAGCCATGATGGCCTTCAATGTTGCTCAATTGAAAGACTGACCATGCATGCTTAAAGGGCTCATGACGTGAATATTACTTGGGAACATATCTTGTACAACTTTCTACTCCTCTTACATGTATGAAAACTATTTAG